AAACAAAACCAGTTTTCATCTGGCCATGGCCTTCGTGGCATTCCGGATCATCCAGTCAGCAAATGAAGCGTCCTGGCGTAAGTGTTAATCCGTTTTTTTTTCAGAAAGCGCATGCAGGTTGGCAAAGTGAAGAACAAAAATGATATACATCCTGTTATCAGCTGTATAATTGGTTTTCAGTAAAGCATGTAATATAAATTCGGATGTCGGTTGAGGCTGTCCTATAAGCCAATCCCCCCCTCTTGCGAAATACTGTTGATTGTCACGTCTTATTATGTCTCCAAACTGACGCTAACACACGATATGCGTGTTCATTATCTTAATAGAGAATAGCATTGGTCTCATCAACTCTGGCGAGCGCAAGTGCGGAAAGTCTCTAGCTTTGAGAATTTTCGCACTTCTGCAGGGATTTCCGTCTGAAGAGGCACATGTGGTAATCTTCGCTAGTGGTGATCTGACGATGACGCCGAGGTCGATGTTGAGAAAATTTACTTTAACATCAATGGTGCTGCTGTTAGATGACCCGACTGTTACCAGCACGCTCGTAACGAATTCACGTGAGTATTCTTCATTGTTTTATAGCTAATGCTGAATTATATTGCGATTGGTCGATTCTTAATGTAATGTCGCTGCTGGGCAACAAGTGAGAACTGTTTGCCGTCCAGGAAAATCAAGGAACGATGCTGAAACTTTGAAATAAACTCTTTTTTTTAAGGGTGTTAAACATTTCACTTACGCTTTTGCTAACACTCCCCTTGCTCACCCATGCACAGCAAGGTTTGCATGAACTTGCCGAGTTCGGAAGGCCTGTCTTTACTCTGCACGTTGCAGCAAGGGTGTAATTTATGTCTATTTTTGGGCGCACAGGCAGGCGGGTTAGTGAATAGCATTGTAACCACCAGGGCCAGCCTCTTCATAGCTGGCCGCAACGTCGACATCGGGTAGAGGCTGGATGATGATGTGATGAAGTTCCAGTTCGTGAAAGATCAACAGCAAAACAATGATGGAGAACTGGAACTTATTCAATTTGTCAAAGAGCACAAGGTATATTACTGTTCATTTCATATGAGCAAAAAATATAGGTATGAAACCGCACAAAAAGCACATGGTTATAACTTATTAGGGTATAGCTATCAGTAATAGCAATCGTTTATACACTTATAATTCTTGATTATATAGAAAAGCTATAGCTGTTTTTGTGTTTCTTAGGGCCTGCTTCTAGCCTGGGGGATGCGCCTTGCAAGAGTGTGGCCCCATATAACATCTGAAGGGGCCAATAGAATGGAAGCCATCCTCCGCCAGTATTTGGGAGCTCGGGAAATCCGAGACAAAAGATTGGCGAAATTGCTGCTCGTCAGGATAATGGTTAGTATCCAGCGGTGTAGCTGACGAGTGACGATAAGTATAGTTGTAATCTATGAACATTTTATTATTACCTTTAGATCAACATCAGTGCTGGCGAGCAGCCCGAGCTCCACCAGCTGCTACAGGCCCTTGGATATGTTCTGGTAGATGTCCCGGTGTTGACAAGGCTGCAGCAGAGCGTACTAAGAAAGTTAATGGATGACGAGAACGATGTAACTGACTATACCAGTACAGACTGTGCTGTGCCAGAATATTGAAATAATTAAAAATCTTAACCAATAACGTGAAAGAAAACTCACTGGCAGTATGGTATATGAAAATTTTCGTTCGAATGAAAAATTTCCTCCTATTTTGCACCCTACAACGATCAAACTCCTTCCATCGGGCAGAGGCTGGATGATGTGATGAAGTTCCAGTTCGTGAAAGATCAACAGCAACACAATGATGGAGAACTGGAACTTATTCAATTTGTCAAAACCACCAGGTATATTACCGTTCATTTCATATGAGTAAAAAGTATAGGTATGAAACCACACAAAAAGCACATGGTTATAACTTATTAGGGTAGCTATCAGTAATTGCAATCGTTTATAGACTTATAGTTCTTGATTATATAGAAAAGCTATAGCTGTTTTTGTGTTTCTTAAGGCCTGCTTCTAGCCTGGGGAATGCGCCTTGCAAGAGTGTGGCCCCATATAACATCTGAAGGGGCTAATAGAATGGAAGCCATCCTCCGCCAGTATTTGGGAGCTCGGGAAATCCAAGACAAAAGATTGGCGAAATTACTGCTCGTCAGGATAATGGTTAGTATCCAGCGGTGTAGCTGACGAGTGACGATAAGTATAGTTGAAACTATGAACATTTTATTATTACCTTTAGATCAACATCAGTGCTGGCGAGCAGCCCGAGCTCCACCAGCTGCTACAGGCCCTTGGATATGTTCTGGTAGATGTCCCGGTGCTGACAAAGCTGCAGCAGAGCGTACTAAGAAAGTTAATCGATGACGAGAACGATGTAACTGACTACCAGTACAGACTGTGCTGTGCCAGAATATTAAAATAATTAAAATCTTAACCAATAACGTGAAAGAAAACTCACTGGCAGTATGGTATATGAAAATTTTCGTTCGAATGAAAAATTTCCTCCTATTTTGCACCCTACAACGATCAAACCCCTTTTGCAACCAGGTGGCCATACAGTCAGCACTGGATCGGTATTTTGCTATTTTGCAAAAATTGGAAGAATTTGCACGTGCATGGTGAAACAAAAAACAGCAACTAAAGCTTTCTTGAACGGTCTTCTTGAACGGTTTGATAAGGGAAAAGTCTTCATTGGATTAAAGATGGCAGCTAAGCCAGTCGCAATTCTAGAGCAGTTGAAAATGTCTCTGGAATGGTAGACGCTGTTAAGGCATCATTGACGCATATTAGCTCATAGCGTACAGATGAAACATTCCATGTATTATTATCTGTTGCTGAACAAAAATGTAATGAGTACGAATTGGATCCACCGGAAGTGCCAAGGATCCGAGTTATTCGAAGAAGATACACGGGTGAAGCAGCGGAGTATGGGCGTTATAATCCTGAAGAAATACTACAAGCAGTATTTCGAGTTCATTGATACTAGGCATGGCATACTAGACAGGCATGACCCCAACAAGTCCGACCTAGCCCGGTACTTGAAGTTGGAGACGATGTTAACATCTGAAAAGGTTGAAGAGAATGTAGTACAACAGTTTCCTGAACACCGATATTAAATCTAACTACAGGAGTTTTTTTACTTTTGAGATATAATATGCTATATATATTACTATCACGAGAAAGGAAATAAAATAATTTCGAATAACAAAGCAAAAGTATAGTGTCCGTGCATGTTATGTAGTTATATATAAATCCGAACTATTCAAGATATTTAAAAAAAAATTGTTTAATCTTGGCCCAGGCTATACAGAATTAATTAATTAATTGTAACAATGACACTATGTTTTGTTCTTATATTATTATATTAATATTTTTAGTGCGCCAATGGAAATTTTCGGACATGACACGCCGGACATGTCAGCGCCCGTTTACAGCGGCAGCGTGGCCGCCGTGGCGTGTTTTTCCATTTTCACTGTTCGAAAACTGTTATTCTTGAATTATTTGGAGTAAATATTTATTAAAACTTCCTTTCATAGCTATATGTTACAGTAATCAGTACCGTGACTGTGCGCATAAACAATGTACTCGAGGACTGAGTGAAAACAGATATCTGGGCTACCTAAATGAATATTACATTTAATCAATTTTTATAACTGACATATTAAAATGATCATTTTCATGTTTTGTTTAGAGAACAGCGTAGAATTGATAAAAATACTGGCAGTGGAAGTGAAAATGATCCGACTAGTGTAATTGTTACTCCAAATACTCAATCAACTGGTTTAACAACAGAATTAGGGGGAAAGGTTAGTCCACATGTATTTTTACACACAAATAGAAGTCAGCATGTCAGGCTAATATAACTGTTTACAAGTTCACTTAGAAAAGTAAAGCATAAAAATTAAATGGATGATAGTCATGTCTGTCATGATACTATGATAGCTAGATTATATAAATATATATGTGTATTGTGTGCCACTGCTACGGTGCTACCCAGTGACCAGTGTCTATTGACTGTATGATTTTGTAATTTTTAATAATGGTATCTGTGTTTCTGGTTTTTAGTTCTGGAAGTTTTACTAGTGCTACTTTCAAGCAAACTCCTATTATGTAATAATATTAGTAATGAGTAATCAGTTTATCAGTTATGCACTCTCTCTGTTAGCCTAATAGTAACTTTGTGCTAGAAAGATACTAGTTTAAATCTTAATGTTTCCCCTGATATTATAAGGGAATATTCACTATGCACAAATGAGCCATGTTTGTTCCACAGATGTGAGACATCTATGGTCTGTACAGTGAGCTCGGTCTATATGACATTCTGTATGACTCGTTTCCAGTCTCTAATCGTTTTCTTTAAACACGATTATACCGTAGACCGCGCGTAAGAAGGGCTCTGGGTACGAGAATGTTGCAGTACTTGAATGTGACTTCTATGAATATTTTGGGTCGCAGGGTCAGGGTTTATTTAAGCGATAATTTTTTTCTACTATAGAAACGGAATACCGATATGAAGTTTACTATTCCTAATTGTATTCCTAAGTCTATAATTTAAAGGAACAGTATATTTTGAGAATACACCCTTTATTGAAATACAGTAGCCTGAAATTAAAATGAGATTTCGTACTGAAAATAAACATTTTTATTACTACAGTCAACCAATTGTGAATCCACCGTCTGTTGATGTACTTAAATCATCCGAGACCGAAATTGCTTCAAGCCGTCACAGCATTCAGAGCTCACTGGAAAGTTTCCTTCCCTCCCTCACACAAAAACATAGCAACCTCCCTTCTAATATTGAAGAGTTAGCCGATAAAATTTTAACTAGGGTGGCCCAAACGTTAAGTTCTCTGCCAACTTTGAGCCTTTCTAAGAGTTCAGCAACTACGTTAAACCCCTCATCCAGTACGCTTATTAAAGCACGTAATTTGGTCGAATTCCTTGACGAAGCTACAGATTTTGGGTTAGCTAGCTAAGGAGAGAGACGAACGGCTGGTATAAAATCTGCGTAGCTGAGAGGAGTTACTTTCTGCTACCCGTGTTTCGGTTTCATCTTCTTTTCGTCGACCAACTAGTGCAGCAGATGGAAGCTTGGCAACAGCTTTACTTTTGTCAGACGAAGTATACCAACAACTCATTGCCGAAAGTGCGAGAAATGGTATAGCCAAAAACAAGCTATGCTATGTTTCGATCGACATCTTTCTTCGAGCACATACAAAAAATGCTATGGATCACATGAAGATAATAAGGCAAGGGCGATCCAGGGAAGTTACAGTTGTAAAAAATCAACTCCGTGCAGCTATTGGAGTTGTGAAGACGAAGTCGGCGGCAATCCAGTACGAGGCGCGAATTGCAGAGCTTCAAGCTGCAGTTTTCTGCCATGATTGACGCAGCTTGTGCATATATCGACATGAAAACTGCTAATTTTATTTCTACCCCTCTGGCAAACACAGGAATAACTCGACCAACCATCGGATCACCAACCAGGTCACCGTCATTTGTCCGGTGGTAAATGGTACTCGTGAAGGCATTGTTCTGGATGCTTAGTGAATTCAAAGATTCTTCTTTTGTAGATCGTTTCTTGAGAAGAGTTGCATTACATCATCAACTATTTAGTCATGGAAAGATGCACAGCGTGGCTAGACACACAGCAAAGGATCTGAAACTTCCATTTCGTGTTACCAACTCTTATGCCCATCAGCGTTTCATGAGTTCGAGCTACCTGTCGCTGAAAAATCTTGCAGAGAGTTTGGAAGTTTATATTGAGACCTTCAAGGACCATGACAATCGGGAAGAACTTGGCTACAAGTTATGCGGCCAAGACTTTGTCCATGACCTGTTGGGTGTTCTCGATTTGCTGTGGCCCTTGGTGGTCCTTATGCTCCAATCACAAGCTCAATGGTATCCTGGTTGGAAATTGTGCGCCCATATTCCTTTGGTAAAAGACCAGACCGAGAGATTCATCGTCCAAGTATCTGAGGAAAATCCTGCACTTACGTTTGTCCCAGACTGAGCCAAAGGGTGGATGAAATTAGAGAAATGCGCTATGATCAAAATGATCTGGACATTGGATGGTTTGTCGTTGGCGGTGGTGACAATGCAGTTCCAGTAGATTGGTCTGCACGTGAACTAGACGACAGCATTCGTGATCTGCAAAAGCTCGGCGGAGATGTGATCAACCAGATGGTTATTCGATTCGACAATTGCTTCTCTGACCTCAATCGGTTGTTCTCAAAATGTTTTGACTTTGCGCGTCTATTTCATGGTTTGTGTGGAGTGCTATCTGAAGGAAGGATACCCGGTGGACAAAAAGAAGTTCTCTGAGCTTGGCGCTGCTGAGTTTCGGCGATGTGCCACCTACGTTGCCCAAATGCCACACGTCCAAGAGAAATATTTTGAGATTGGTGGGGAACTGTCATCAACTGTGTTTTGGCGTTTGAAAAAAGTGCTCATTACCCTAGTCTGGGGAGATATGCTAGACACGCATTTTCCCAATTTTTTTAAACAGGTCAACAACAGGGAATCTTCTTTGAAAGATCTGGTTGTCCCAGAAGGAGTATTTGTGAAAGAATTTCTGGAAGGCACAAGGCGGAAATTCACTTTGTCTGATATCTTTGAAGTCCAATTTAGCAATGGTCTGAAAATTGGCCTATCCAAACACAGCATACCAGTTTACCAAGATCCACGATCAATGCAAAGACTCCATGAAGGAGAACTGTCTAAGGTTTTAGAACGAATTGTGACTTCACAACCGAAATTGCCTTTTCTTTTATAAACTGAAACATTCTACATATACTATACCGAACAAATCTGTGTTCTGGAAATGCTCGCAGTCGTGCCTACTTTGAAAGTTTCTTATCATGCAACGTTACTATTTTGAAGGATTTTGAACATTGAATCTTCTCGTTCTGGAAATGCTCGTGCCTATTTTGAAACATTCTTATCATGCAACGGTTCAGATAGTTGGTGCCGTTAACAACAAGACAAGGCAATTAACAATAAACTTGTACAAGCCTGGACCTGGTCTGCCAGATGAAATAATTGCTCTCATCAAACCTATTTATGATCTGTCACATTTGCAGTGGTCGATGGAAGGATACCAAAACTGATTGGGTGCAGTGCATTGTGTGCAAAACATGGGTTCATGAGGAGTGCACAGTAGATGACATTTGCCTTTTATGTGAATAAACAATCAGCTCCTAGTTTACTGAACACAGTAAGCATTAAAAACCAATCAGGGAAGAACAGTCTTTATCCTTTGAGAACATTTTGGCCTTGATGATAAGCAGTGCACAGTAGAAAAACAAACATATGTAATATGTAAATAAACAATTAGCTACACTGGTTCCTATGAGCACAGTTTTTTAACTACACTAGAGTATGACATACAATTTTATCTTCTATCATTTTTAAATTTCAATAATTTATAGTATTATAACTATTATTCTATGGCAATTATGTATTTTACCTGATAAGCTATTTTAGTGTCAAGTGGTTAGAAAATTTGTAATTAAAAAATTTATCATCTTCTATACAACTTAATTCCATCATTTCTTAGCCACTTAAATGCCAAGAAAAGTAAAAAACATAAGTTTCATTTAATTTAACTTTTGCATAATATAGAGGATATAATAACCTTAAGTTTGTAAGAAAATGGAAGGTTAGCATACAACAGCCAAAAATATTTAAAGTGTTTTTGTTTGAAAAAATCCTTCAAATGTTACGTCAGTCACATGGAATTACCCAATGGGGAAAATTGTGGGCAGTGACAAGGTTGAGGATTTTTGCCAGAAGAAATTCATATTACCATAAAGAAGAACATTACCATATTGCTACATAACTATAAAAATGCAAGATGTTTTGAAAAATAGTTTAATCTTGACTGGAATTGGAAATAGCAAGTGATTCATTCATATATTTTTGGCATGTACCTCATTTATGCTACCGGTATGTACCTTTTTAAATAGTATATGTTTCTGTGTTTTATACATCTTTACCTGGTGACTTACTTCTTATATATATATAATATCTCCATAGGCATAGCCTAGTTGTTAAAGCACTGCTCTGGAATAGCAGGCGTGTAGATTCAATATGCTTATAGTAATTTATAAATTGTCTATTTGAATATACACAAATATTTATTTATATATGATAACAGAAATGCTTCTATCCGGGGAGGGTTCATTAGGTTCATTGATTCAATTCTAACTGGAAGACCGAATATGGTGAATTCGAACTTTATCAATTATTAATTATTTAAAACTACGAACTTTTTTGGAAAATCAAGAAAAAACTGATAACTTCAACCCTATATATTCACAGGATTCGCACCAAATAATAACATTGCAACAATTTACAAGCTAATTTGAGAGAGTTGGAATTAACAACATTACAGCTAAATAGCCATAAGAAGTGGTATAAATACAAAACAGCACACTACAGTACATTAAATACAACACTGCACACTACAGTACATTACAATACAACATTGCACACCAGAAAACATGTCACATGAAAAATTGAAATGAAAGTTAAATGATAAACAACTGAAAGTAAAACAAGTGAAGCACATGAATATCTATTGCAAGCACAAAGAATAAAGATGCAACTTTGCAATAGTGGACACAATATTTTTGACATTGCCTAGTGACCTATCAGAAGAGAAGCAAAAATCTGGTACCTCTTTTTGTTCCAACATCAGGTCATACTTTCACTGTCTTTCTAATGTTGAGGCCAATCCTTGTATTTTCAGGGTTGTAAGGGTCGTGGCTGAAACAATCACAAATATATATAAACATTACCATATGCCATGGTTGTAATAAGAAATCAACCTCTGTAGATTGCATAGGTAAAGAAGTAGGAACAAATAATAAATAAATAGCAACAGGTACTATATAGCTACAAAGGGTATAAAAACTCACAAATAGGGCTAAGAAAACATTAAGTAATCTTTCACGGTATTTTTAAACAAAAAGCCGTCACGTTCAAGTACCACAAAAATACCATAAAGGTAACACAAAAATATCACACCTCCTTGGCCTCGATACAATGTTCGAATGGATGCAAACAAGGTTCAAGATTTTTTACCAAAACAATCTTGACATACTATAATGAACAGAGAGCGGACATAAGATTACAGAAGATCACATGGAACCAAATGTCAATCACCAAACTAAGAAATATATGAAGAAAATGAAGTTACTATAACATGGCTTTGCCAAAAAGGTATAGGATCAGGGCTTACACAACTTATTTGCATATGACTGTACCTTATGGGAGGGTGGCAAAAAAATAAACAAAGAACTTGAAAAGAATGCATAATATATTCTATTAAAACAGATCCCTCCCTCCCTTGTGGAGTGTCAATTGAAAGGAAATTTCCTTGCATTGTGGAAGCCCTGTATGGGATACTCATCATGGTATATGTCAGCTACTATGTAACTACCATATAGGATAAAGGAATTATAATTGTCAATGCACATGATTGAGTAGACTAGCTTGCTCATAGATATACTCTTTTTCTGCTAGTCTCAGCAAATGTCATCAGCATTATTCGTCATGATAGATCAAATATTGAGCTTAAAATATTAATTTGGCTCTAATATAGAGTCAAGACAACCAACACATGCTACAGTAGGCAATAGGAAAAGTCCTATGTCTGCCAACTAGAAAAAAATTCATTGTAATTTTTCTGTCACTATATACATTAAATACAATTTACATAAAAGCTGCATATTAGTGATATATTACTGGGCCCATGCTTATGTATCAGCTTATGCATCCCTTGGTAAACATTTTTACCCTACGGATGGCAGAAGTTACTAATCAGCAATCCTATATATGAATGAGTCCAGCTGATAAAGCAATATTATACTGAGCACACCACAAAAAATACCCCCTATACTCTATAGACAGGAAACTGCCAAGGTTTTTCTTGTCAGACTTTAATACATATGTGTAAATATTGTCGCAATTTTGTGCCATTAAATCCCCGTTTCCAAGCAAACTTGCTGGAAAAATTTAAGACAACTAAAATTATGATAAACAGCGAATTATTGTACCAGATAGGCAGATATTTATTGAAAATTTGTCAAAACAAAGGATTATATACTGAAGTAAAGCAAACCGCTATTAAGCGCACGTGGCGCAGCTAGTGTGTGTATTAAAACTGGGCCAAACATATTCTCACAATAAAACTGTATTCAATATTTTATATTCCTAAAACAATATATAGAAATACACGACAAAACAGAATTCAAAAAATTTCATTTGGGTTAAACTTACCGAGTAAAATGGGCAAGAAGCATGATTACAACTAAAGTAAAGAATTTATGATCGAAATATCTCAATTTGTTGTTTGTATATTTCACATATTGTCTGCTTGTCTTCTTTATTTCTGGTCGCAGTCCACATAACCCGTTTCATTTACACACTGTGTGCTTTTTTTTCAGATAAATACTGTAAAAGTTCAACGTACATCGTTACACAAGACAAGTCATCAACCATCTGACAGTTTGTGACCTGGTTTGTTCAACACCGCGGAAAAACGTCTGCGCACGCGTCAACTCTGCCTGTAAGTGAGATTAAAAATAATTAAAAAGCGGTTCCGAACGTTTCCGAAGGCTAAAAATGGCGGTAAAAAGGAGTGATTTCATTCGTGTCTTCAAATCCATATTTCGATGGCATAAATAAACACTGCATTATAGAAACTAAGAGAAAAAACGTCCAGCGAGTCCTAGAAGTGGCATCCTACAAAAACACCTGTAAAAGGTGACTGTTGACAAATTTTTCGTCTCAAACATTTTGTTTATCAAATAAGCAACGACAGTTTCCGAACTTTTGATTGAGACACGTTTTATTAAAAAAAAATATGTCGCCAGATACGAGACGTTTGCGTGTTCTCAATGATTGAAAATTAAGATGTATTTTACAATTTAAATATATTAGAAAGCTTAACTTTCCGCGGGTTTTCTTAACTTTTAGGTTTAAACTTTTGTTTTCGAAAAATATTCTAAAGCCACTCCGTAAAAAAAAGGAAAATTTACCGAGAATTCCAGTTCGTTCGATACTCTAAATGCTAGAAGGCTTTTAATTTATGTTCTGTCTGGCCGTCTTGTATATTTTTGCCTTTTCTTAACTTATATTTTATCAAATAATGGGCATGTTTTGTTGCAAAAGTTGATATTTAGATTTACCATAATATTTTGATATTTCGGCGCGTGCGCAGACATTTTTCCGCGGTGTTGGTTTGTTCTGGTTTGTGAGTGTGGCTCAGGGTTGTTAGCAATTTGCGCATGCTCAAGGCCAAATACGGTTTTGAAAAAGGCCAAATCCTACTAAAAAAGGCCAAACTAATTTTTCCCCAAAAAAGCCAAAATAAAGCCAAATTAATTAAAGGTATCCGCAGCCGACACAACCCGACATTGTGACTATGACAAGAGAGCTATAAATAGAACCAACTCATCGCAAGTCGCAACTCCTGTGAGGAGTGAAGGATCCTTGGTACGAGTTTAATTGAGCTGTTTGAGCATGTTTTAAAACCATCAACCTTGAAACCCGAGAGGTAACCCATGTCATTATGCAAACTTCATTACTTGAATTCCTTCCCGAAAGAATGGTTAATTTTAATCGATCGAAAAGAGTCAAAAGACGCTTTTGCAGTCAGCTTTATATGTAGTCTTTTTCGCCTAAAAAGTTACAAATCCTGTGTGCACAGTAGTGGAATATGCTTAGAGTCTTTAGCTTAATGTTTACGACTAGCCTCTACCGGAAACGACAGAATTTGTTTTTATCGGCTCTCGCTGCAAAGATTTTGAAGGCGGTAAAGTTGTATGGAAAAGCTTTTCAAACATGGCTTTAAAAAGGCCGTTTTCAGTACTGATACATCAGCTAAATGCCACTATATAGGCACTAATTAACAATTGGTCGAAGTGTTTTAAAATAATAATCAACACAGTCTCATGAAAATTTATAATTACTTCAAATTTCTTATTTGAAAAACTACAACAAAAAGTTATGGTCACCGACCAGAGACAGTGAATCTTAACCAATCAGAATACAGGAAAATCAATAGTCACTTCGAAATATATACTAATGACTAATGTCACTAATTTAAATCTATAGAATACGAAATAACGTGATATAAAAATAAATTTCAAAATTTGAAAGGTTCTTGCGATCATATACATCAGGGTAATTCTTCGTACACGGAATCATTGGAAGCTTCATTTCCTGGATTGCTATTCTGGTTCAATGAAGCATACGCTTTGACGTCTTCATAAGGACTCTTGTGAAGAGGCTCATAACCTTCAGTAACTAAACTTTGATAATCCTCACCAATACGATCTCTTTTCGAATTGTCAAGTTCTGTATATCCCGGTTCTTCAAATTTCGGATTAGGATTCGCGACTGTTTCATGGTCTGCCGCATATCGACCTTTAGCAATCAAACTTTGATAGTTTGCATCAATTGGGTCCATTTTAGAAAGGTTTAGCTCTGCATATTTCGGTTCTTCGAATTGAGAGCTCGAGTCTGGATTGTTACCCGCTTCCGTGTCAGGCTCGTAGGCGACATTCTTAATGTTATGGATGTCTTCAGTTTTTTCCACCTGTGGTTTTCTTCGATGGAAACAACAAACAACAATGAACACGCCTGCAACCAAAACAACCACCGCTGCAACTACTATTCCAACAATAACGCCAGTGCCAATGTTACTGCCTGGTGAAACTGGCTGATTAGATGATACTGGGAAAGCAAAGTTTAATGTCACAACAATGATTAAATACAAAGTATTTTCTAACTTAAAGATTTTATCAAAGTAATGTTGAAGCTCTCTCGAAGATATTTAACCACTTGAACACCCTTATTAAATTTAGGCCTAGATTGTTAGTTGCATTTTGGTCGCTTCGAATGCAATTCAAATAATAGATAATGAAATAATAAACCTCATTAAGCTTCATTATCATCTCACTATTTATATCGTTCGAATTACTCTTTCTCACGATGACGTTTTACAATTTTCTCAAATGGGTTTAAAAAATGATAACAACATGAAAAGCATTTTTTTAGAATCAACAGACCATTTGAAGAATAAATTTAGTCCGACATTAAAGCCAGTTGCCCTTACGATGTCTTACGCTCACGGTTTTGAAAAAAGTACCTTTAAAATGGCGGCATATATTCGTCATCGTGAGAAAGGCAAATGCGCGTATAAAGTAACCTGGGCCTTAGCCTAGATTGCCTATTTTTAAACTTAATTGTCTAACTTCATTCATTGGTGATGCCGATGCGCGTGATATTGAAAGAAAATGGAGGTATTTGCAGCAATACCAAAAAATGTTAACAAAAATCCTTTCGTATGGAACACGAGGGTTGTCAGATTACTAAAATTAGCCAAATATTTTTACCATAATCGTTGTTTTCATTGTTTCAAACTAAGAAGGGCCGACCACAACAATGTTTGGCTTCTTTTTTCAGTAATCTAATGACCCTGTGGAACAACAAATATGTTCCTCTAAGCTAGCTGTAAGTTTAAGGCAAATGGATTGTATTATACATAGGATACTTTTATTTAAATATCTTACTAGTATCGTTTTAAAAATCATTTCAGTGGTGGTAGACACAAGGAGGAATTTCCTTTCGAACTAATCGGCCAATGTGTTTCATGTTTCGCCGGATGTAGTCAATATTAATTTATGCATTCTGACTGGGTTAATAAAAATGTGAACAAACTTCCTGATTCGTACGCGCCTAAAACGGAATTCCTCCTTGTTAGATTCACTCAAATAATATTTTTTTGCTCGTGAGCATGGTGTAAGAAATACAAGTAATTAAATCTTACTTTTAGTTTTACAGTTTGTTCCATTTCCTTCATATCCGATTTGACATTCACAAAAGAACGATCCATCAGTGTTTTTGCAGTTTGCGTTGAAACCGCATCGACCTTTCAAACATTCATCGATATCTGCAAAAGCAGCAAGACATTTGAGCCCTTGCTGGTCGTATTACCATAGGCGTACGGGCGTAACTTCGTTTAACTTCGAAAAAAAAGTCGCCCGAACTTTTGAATTGTACAATGTGCCCAAATTTTAACTTTTAATAGTTTGTAACAATAAACTTGGCAAAGCAGCCGATGTGCTTTCAAGAAAGTGTAACAAAAATGGCCAAATAGAGTGCACATATGTGATATATATTACAACATTTGGCTCTACAAATTTTAGGTCTGTCACTCTTTTTCAGTTTGCCCGAATTTTCGGCTAAACTTTGCCCCGAATTTCTTGATACTTGAAATTTTGGGGGTGCAAGTGCCCTTCCTGCCCCCCTGTGCCACGCCTATGGCCGTATTACCGTTCGCGTCAACTTTGTTAATGCCGCGATTATAAGTGGAAATAAAAAAAAAACAGCCGTTGAAAGGTGAAAGAACAGACCTAGAGTCTTCCTGAAGAGAGTACTAGTTCTATACTGGCATCACGGCAAAATCCACTTGTGTGAATTCCACTTGGGCGATTCCGCACCTGTCAGCAATTTTTATTTTCCTCTGGTATTATTTTTTCTGTTGTCTAGAAAATCTTTGTGCTTTCGCGGTTATTCTGTTAAACTCGGTGAGTGGGAGATCTCAAATGTACGAGAAAATAAACTTTAAAATAAAATCTTCCGCATAATTACAGTCTAAACAGATTATACCTGTGCAGTTTGTTCCATTTCCTTCATATCCAGTTTGACATTCACAAAGATATGAACCATTAGCGTTTGAACAGTTTGCATTAAAACCACACGAGACATATTCGCATTTATTAACATCTACAAATTTTCAAGAAATTTTTAGAGAAGGAATTTTTAGAAGGCATACGTGATACGTCAATGCAACCCTACAATATATAGCAAACAACTATTGGCGTCCATATGTAGTAAATATAAGAGACCTTTAGTTTGACGTTTACAGCAAACGCTTAACCGCTAACAAAGTTTGTGTTTTAACTCCACTATCTTTAAGTGTGCGGCAATTTCGCTAAATTACAAACGTTCTGCATAAAAATTGTGATGTTCAGCAGTAATGTAAGAAAGCAATGGGCTATTTCTGATGTATCTTCAAAAGCAGCTAATTCAGCTTTGCCGTATGTGTTTCACGTTGCACCCTCAGCCGTTCACGCATTAAATCTTTTTTAGCTGCTTCTCTTCGTTTTATTACACTCAATAGACGTTTCGTACACCTACATTTTGAAAACTCTGCACTAATTTATAGATCTTGAAATTAAAATTACATATTGCAGGATGCAAGAACAATTGCAACGTGTAAATACCGGGCGATTCCAGCGCTGGATCGCCTATAAACATGACGAAACTTTCGAAGACGAATTGTATTATACTATAACTATTTTGTTTGCTCACACCTTCCATTTCACACCTAACTCCAAGAAATCCAGCAGGACATCTACACTCAAATGAATTACCAACGTTTGTACAGCTTCCTCCATTATAACATGGCGTGCTTGCACACGGGGTACCTGTGGAAGTAAAATATACTCATATAATGATATAATTTTATTGCTTTACGGAATGCATTTGGCAACCATCAACATATGGTGAAAAAATTATACAAAAAAGGTGCAGGCTTTATTTCTGGCAGACCCTTGGACCTCGGAATATCTCGGCGTATATACCAGCGAAAAACGCTTACGTATAACTACGCGTACTTATATTATAATGTTGTTGCGCGAGAACGGCGTAAAGAGCAGGTTGTTTTTTGGGGGCGGTATTTTCCTATAATCATGTTACGCAGAATTTATTATTTTTCAAATCGATTGTCTTTACAGTCTGGTAAAACCCAGTTGATAGAATATGCATGGTTTGGAGACCACATAAAACTACAATACAACTCATTAATTAAGTTGAGGTAGATTTATGCAAAAAATTGTTTCTCTCTCATCACATGTCAATTGTATTTTGCACAGATAAACCAATAGGTATCTTTTAATTAACATATTTTTCAAGTCAAGGTTGACGAGCTTAGCAAGACCAATGCCATTGGTAAATTTGGCTAAAATACAATAGACACATGACGAGAAAGAATGCGTTTTTTGCATAAACCTGAACAAGAACATGGTTGATGAGTTGTATTGTACTTTTATTTAGTCTCCAAACCATATATAACTGATATTAACATTAACATATTAAATCACCCTTCCTCCCCGACTATTCAGTAGCGTAGCCAGCCTGTCGATTTTTCCCGCTATGCTAATATTTTAGTGTTCACTGACTATGAAAACAATAGATTTCTAAAGACATGAATAATTATAATAACTCGAAATTTACATAGCGGGACAAAATCGTCAGGCTGGCTACGCCACTGCGACTATTGATGCTGACTACGCCGTTGTTGCGCGTGAGGCGAGTTAGCCAAAAGTTTGCAGGAAATTGTTCATGTTTGCTTCAACAAGTACGATCGTACTATAGGGACCAGGAACTGCGTAACCGAGTTTAATTTCGTTCTGAACTGCATTGTATTTATAACACTGGAGAGGACAATGTATTTCTAATCGTTTCCGTTTACTTATATATAGGCTGAATATTAATGATATGTATATATTATTTGCTGCAAATATATCAAGAATTGCTTGTAACTTGCTTCAAAGGTCAAAAGTAAAAATTCGAACTCCGTCAATCGATGCGGAATAATGCTTAGAATAATTGTGCCAAGTTTCATTCCGATCAAACAAGTAATGAAAGAGCCTTAGGGTTTTTTTAAAGAGCGTCGCCCCCTAACAACAACAACAAGACTAGCAGCGGTTAGGAACCAGTTCCTGGTCCAAAAAGTACCAAAGCGTAATTTTTGTAATACTAGAATTTAATTTACTCACCGCAAATGGCGAATTCATCTAAATTCATCCAATCTATTTCGACTTTGGAAGAGCAATAATCGGCATAAGCTTCAAGAGCTTGACAATAACAAACAACAGGATCATCTTCACAAGCACACATATCATATTCACAATCTGAAATATATCCTTCTTCAGTTGCATTGATATAACTGGAACAATTACTGAAGGGTGGTTTAAGTAATGCTGAACAATTCTCTCGTGCTATCAATCTTCTCTCTGGATTGGCGTCACATGGGTGGTCCACTGTAGTTGCATTTTCACATGTAGGGTCGACTTTCCAAGAATTTCCAAACTCTACTGGATCAGTTACGATTGTTCCGTAAGACGTCCAGAAATGATCATATTTTATTTCGTTATAATAACCACATAAACCTGATGTTCTGTTAACGTAATGACCTCCAATTATTACTCGAACATTGTAAACATTGTTCCAAAACACAGTTACACCATAATCACTTGTCACGACGGTCCTACCATTGCTGTGAATTGTAATGTTTACAGCTGAATAAAATGAAAAAAATTTTGGTAGTTAGCCAAGATGTGGCAGTCTTGTTATCTTCTCTAACGACGTATTCTGAACGATCATTTTGTTGTTTCGTTAACTGTGATAGTGCATGCATTGTTGAAGTAGTTGCTAATGCGAAATATTTTTGTATTTTGGGTCAAGAAAGTCAAAATTCATTTGATTTGTACGGGCAGCAGTAGCGTAGCCAGCCTGTCGATTTTTCCTGCTATGCTAATATTTTAGTGTTCACTGACTATGAAAACAATAGATTTCTAAAGACATGAATAATTATAATAACTCGAAATTTACATAGCCGGACAAAATCGTCAGGCTGGCTACGCCACTGACGGGCAGAACTGTATGGGCAGAACTTTACTTGTACTTGGTGGGTACATATACTGACAAGGACAACGGACGCAAATTTCTATTGCTATTTCTACTTACTGTGTAAAGTAGCAATAGCAATAGAAATTTGCGTCCGTTGTCATTGTCAGTATATGTACCCACCAATGAATGAATGCATCAAAACAAATCAAAATGCAACAAATTTTGTAAATCTATTTAGATTAGAATAAATTTTACCCCCGTAGTTTGTCGACGAGCTGATATCTCCACCATTCACATTAGTCACTCCTCTCTGAAGTTTGATTATTAAACCCCTGAAGATGACTGTTATTGATTTCGTACATGTCACCAGTCCATTTCCACAAGGTTCATTTTCTTGTCTTATTTCAAATGTGTTGTTTACTCTGTCTTTAGCCAGAACATATTCGCATTTACCCATGAAGTCAAAACGTTTTCCATCGAATGTTTTATAATGAGGATCTCCAAAAGTTACACACGTTGCTTCCACTACAGAGAAAAGTATGGAAAATGAAAAGAATGCCATTTTCATGATACATCAACATTAATTTGCGAAAAGCATTTTTACATCATCGGTTTCGTGATTTGGAGTATAAAATGATATTGTGCGGTATTAATTTTTAAAGCAGAGAAGCAAAGTGGATGATGACAGTCGATCATTCTTTTCAACCAAAATATTGTATACGCCGCAATACGAATCATCTTATCCGAAGTAAACATTTAATCCAAACTTCTGACAAAGAATGAAAAATAATTAATTAAAAAAAAAACATAAATCTTTTGAGAGGAAGCTAAAACTTGATTTGTGCCATTATTAGATGATAGTTACACGTTTGGCTTATGTTTTCTACCGCACCGTGGTAGTGAAAACAATAAGATCAGTGTGATTAGCGAGTAACACGAAAGAGCTTAGATTTTTGTTACCTTCGATTTCGCATCTATCACTACGATATTCAGAAGGACATTCACATTCAAATGAGTCACCAACGTCTGTACAAATTCCTCCATTTAGGCATGGGTTACTTAAGCATGGGGTAGCTGTGGAGAAAAGAGAAAATAATTTATCTAAATAACAAAATAATAAGAAATATTTAGGTAAACCTACTGGCAAATAATGCTGAAAATAATCACAAAATTGATTTACGCTTCTCACATTAGTTCAGGTTTTTTGTACTTTACTTTCGCGTGGCAAACTTTTGTCAAAGTTGTCTACACATTTACCATTTAAAGAGAATAGGCTAACTACCTTCGCAATCACTGCCATTTTTAACATATCCTTCACTGCAAACACAGACAAAGTTTCCAAGTGTGTTAATGCATGAAAATTTAGCGGGACAGGCAGCAGCTGCATCAAGGCAACATTCATCTGAGTCTGTATTTAAAAAAGCAAAGGTAATAAAATCGTAAGTATGGTTAATTTATCTGAAGGACTGTATGCCATACTTATAAACGCCGTTTGTAGGGAAACAAACAAGAAGTTGCAACGTCCGTGACGAGTTACTGACCACAGATAACAAGAACGATTAATGATAACTAAAGATTTGTTTGAGAAATACTTTTACGGTCAACAAAAAAAGCATGAAAAATCTAGTACTAAATATTCAAACAGTAATAAATAGGCCCTCGATTCAAACATTATGCCCACAGGTTTTTTCTAAAATTAGGCCGTTAATATTTCTCTTTGTTTTGGGTGGTAAAACAAAGCAAATTATTTTGTGATTGATGAAAAGATATAAACTTACCATATGCAACCACTAAATCATAAATTGTATATTCATAAGTCATATTTCCTTGCTTTTCAAGCGATGTTTTCAAATATTTGTCAATGCGCTTGTTGCTGGTGTCCAAGACATGCAAATGAAGCATGTCCGAAGTCAAATCAATTACGTCTGGATATGAAATATTCAAAGCAACCGTTTGCTTATTGAGCATAGTTTTCATAACATTGTGATTGATTCCATCATAGTTTGCCCAGTAAATGACGTTATTGTACTCATCCACAGAAATTGACTGCGCTGAGCCATCAAAATTGAACTCCAATATTGATTTATCTGCTGGATTAAAACGCACGATTGGAGGATCATTTGCTCTTGCAATGTAGAGGTAGCTGTGAAAAATAAAAATGAATTAGTCATCTAACCACATATTTTGCATATACTAGAAGAGCAGAAAGGAAAAGTAAAAATGAATCAATAGAGTAAGGTATACGAAAGGAATTAAGGTATTAGGCCTACTATATCAAAGGTATTCAGGTGAGATTACAAAACACGTATAATAGAAATAGACTTAACATATTGCTGGGATTACATTCGTGAATATTAGACCTCTATATGCAAGAAATCATGTAACACAATAGAAAAAAAAGAACAATTTGAGAAGTAGCTGTATCTGTTGGTGATAATAAATTATTACCCATTAGTCATGTCCATTTCAAGATCCTTGATGCTGGTCAAAGATGATAAAGCGTCATCAACGTCACCTTCTTCTCCAGTTGTCATGTTGATTGTTTTTATTTTCTTTGTAATTGTATAGTAGTAATATACCAAATTATTCCTGCCATCCACGGTGAAAAACTCTACACCCGTGACTAACGTTGTAGTAGAATTGGAACCATCCAAATAGAAACTTGTCAATCCCTCAGACTGAATATAAAGGTACAACCGTTTGTTTATGGCGTCAAAAGACAACAACGCGTTTACTCTATCGTCGACGATGGTTGGGATATTTGAAGTGTTTTCTATGTTATACATCCGTGTCCCAACTGATGTTGAGAAATATAGGTATGGTATTTGGCAGCGATCTAGAAAATAATATAAAAAGATTAACAAAGGAGGATTGGAAAAAAAACAACTTATAATGATACTGAGACGGTTGTATACACTTATCCTATATAATAATGTGTTATATTTACTGGCTAGGAGGTCAGGATTGAGAATGTGTCCGCACCGACCAAAACGATATCGTAAAATTCCGCTCGCTTAAACCGGCAATTTATATATAGGCGTTTACCTTTAATTTCACATCTTTCACCCAGATATCCAACAGGACATTTACATTCAAAAGCTGAATAGCCAAGATTTGTACAGCTTCCTCCATTGTAGCATGGTGCACTTGCACATGGGGTACCTATAAAGGACGTCGATCAAACCAATAACCAAGTATTCCTTTTTTTCTATTTCATTTGAATATTACATTTACATTATTTTTAAAGTGCCTATATCACTCGTGGAATCTTTATGCATTTGAAAAGAATGTAAAAAGTTAGTTAATATATTAAAAAAGTTTTTTGATTCAGTGCAATAATTTTGAAGATACTAGCCTTTAAACTACCTGCAGTTCCTGAGTCCCAGGTTCTGTAAACAATGGGTAGTTTCAAATTAAATAGCCGTGTTTAAACCTAGGAGGTTGGGACTCAGGAACCGCAGGTAGTTTAGAGGCTTGTATCTTCGAAATTATTGCACAAAATCAAAAAAGTTTTTTAATAATATTAACTAACTTTTTACGTTCTTTTCAAAGGCATTAAGATCCCACGAGTGATATAGGCACTTTAAACCATTTCCAGAACATGCAAACTGAAACACAATTCTAGCTGTAAACATACAACAATAATACTCAAAATTACCACGTATATAATTCACACTGACTCACATTTCCGCCCATGGAATATACAATAGTAATGCGAAGAGCTCCGAAACCATCCTCTAAACAAATTTTACTTACGACAAATTGCAGATTCATTTAATTCCTTCCATTTTATATCAACATGGGGTGAACAATCATCAGCATACGCTTCAAGAGCTTGACAATAACAAACAACAGGATCATCTTCACAAGCACACATATCATATTCACAATCTGCAATATATCCTTCTTCAGTTGCATTGATATAACTGGAACAATTACTGAAGGGTGGTTTAAGTAATGTTGAACAATTCTCTCGTGCTATCAATCTTCTCTCTAAATTGGCGTCACATGGGTGGTCCACTGTAGTTGCATTTTCACATGTAGGATCGCCTTTCCAAGAATTTCCAAACTCTACTGGATCAGTTGCGATTGTTCCATAAGACGTCCAGAAATCATCATATTTCATTTCGCTATAATAACCACATAAACCTGATGTTCTGTTTAAGTATCGACCTCCAACAACCACTCGTACGTTGTAGACATTGTTCCAAAATACTTTCACACCATAATCACTTGTGACCAATGTTTGATCTTCGTGTTCACTGATGTCGACGCCTTAACAATTTCAAGAGAATTTATCTTAGTCACTACAGTCCACACGTTAATCATGAGTGGCTATAAGGAAAGCTTTAAAATGCATTTTGATTAAAACAAAACCTAATATAGTTCAATTCTTTCGAAACAAACAAACATTCTCAGACACCAAATCGAACAGGTAGCGGTACGAGGCAACAATAGGCACCTCCAACCGAGGGACAGTTCAGAATATGGGGTTATACTGATGTAGACCTAGCTCTTATTTAAAAGGCGTTTACACGAACTGATACTTGAGGGGGGATGGGAGAGGATTAATGTGAACCTTACAATGAAAGATCTAAAACAGTTGCATAAATACCAAAAATAGAGAGAAAAAAGGTTCACACAGTACACTTTATCGAAATGAATGGTAGGAATGGAGAGAAATCTATTTTGCCCGAAAAAGAATGTAAGTTTAACCTTATACCCGGGTAGCTGTTAACTGGCAACGTGACCTCTTCACTATTAACCCACGTCATGCCCCTCTGGAGTTTGATGGTTACCCTTGGTAAAATCACCGTTAATGATTTTGTACATGTTACTAGGCCATTTCCACAAGGTTCATTAATTTTCTTGTCTTATTTCAAATGAGTTGTTTACTCTGTCTTTAGCCAGAACATATTCACATTTGCCCATGAAGTCAAAACGTTTTCCATCGAATGTTCTATAATGAGGATCTCCATGAGCTACACACGTCGCTTCGACTGTAAGGAATAGAAAACACAAAATTTTTTAAAAGATATTTATTTACTAATCAACAGGGAAAAAATTGAATCTACTGTGGTTTACTTGTAAGAATTTTTATCTATCTCTCGAATAACGCATATTACTCAATTTATATATTGCTCATATTATAACGAGCTTGGTCGTTGCTTTGTTAACATATGTATGTTGATATATTTTTGTTGTAACATTAAAACAAATTATGCTCCAGTCAAAATAGTAATTTAAAGGAAAATGGCAATATGTTTGTTTATTTTCTTATTTGAAAGAGCTTTGAAAACTATATTTAATTCTCTTTTACCGTTTTTTTATATCTTGCTTACTTCTACAAATATTTTGATCAAAAAGAATGAAATACCCGCCATCTTGGATTTTTGTAGATATACAGTTACGTCACAACATGGGCCACGCAATATTTCTATCTCGACAACCACCAATCATTTTGCACTCAAAACTATACTCTGTATGCTCTTCGAAATATCAAGATCACTCAACACCTTTAAAACATCTACCAATCAATATTTGGCCAGCAACGAATACTTTTATATGGCTAACCCCTGTTGTGACGTCACTAGAACTACCGTTAATGAGATAAAAAATTATCCAAGATGGCGGATATTTCATTCCTTTCGATCAAAATATTTGTAGAAGTAAGCAACATATAAAAAAACGGTAAAAGATAATTAAATACAGTTTTCAAAGTTCTTTTAAGTGAGAAAATACAAAAATATATTGCTATTTCCCTTTAAAAAGGCAGACAAGGAACTCACCCAAATCGCAGTTAGGCCCTCGGTGATCTATTTTGCAAACACACTTTACTATATCGTCTACCTCAGCACAAATTTCATTTTGTTCACAGACAAGACTGCTGCAATTTAAGGCTAAAAAAGAATAAAAGTAAAATTTCATGAGCCTCTTTTTTCTGAATGGAATTGAATCTGCTGTCGATGCACGAAATACGCCTGAAATGACCGGAAAAACTAAAAAAAGGTGAAAGGTGAGTTAAGTGGGAGGAGAAGTCTTGAGAAGAGATGATCTCCGTTCTCCATTATAATTACTTAATTTGAGTTCCGTATTTACCGCATTTACGTGTGGTAAAGAAAGAACAAATTAATATTTATTCTATCATTTTCTTGTATTCTTTTTGCTTGAAAAGTCTCTGTATCTTGTGGGGATGGAATGAATGTCGTACCTGCATGTGCATGTGACAAAATAAATAAGTGCTTTTAATAAAGTGGTTGTCAATGGTTTTTCGCATGAATTTCAAAAGAGCGGAAAACTGCCGGAAACGCGGCAAAGTAATGCTTGTTTTGATCAGTTTTTTTCCTGAATAATCAAATTATTGAATTTTGCTCATCGTATATAGAACATGAGAAATATTCAGGTATTGATAAGTGTTATCTGCCTAAGCTTTGTTTCGAAATATTCCTGATATATCTTCACAAATTATTCATACATTTAATATTATACTTTTTATAATTTTCTATATAAAAATATGAAACAACAAAACGATCTATTGTGGATTCAGCCCGTATAATTGTAGTCATTTACCTTCACAGTCAAAACCATCTCCTGAAAAACCTTCATTACAAACACAACTGAATGAACCTATTGAATTCGAACAGGTTGCATTTTCGTGACACTTTCTATCGACCCCTGTACACTCATCAACATCTAAAAATGAAAATACAGCAATCATAAGCATGTTCCCATGGCTGGGGGGAAATGCGCGAAGGCTGGATTTTAGCTAGTAATAAAATATGAAAATCATTCTGAAATTCTCAATATTGGATTAGAATATCTATATTAATATTGGAGCTGAATCGTTGTTTCCCATTATCGTCAGGTTCACTGTTAACATGATTGATCAGTGAGTCATAATTCTTTTTCACAAATGTTTGCATGAAAATAGCAAAAGTACTTGAAAAAAATACAGTTACTAAAATCGTTTGAGATTATGTTGTAAGCTATTATTGTGTGTAATAATCATAGCATAAATCTTCTTTATAGTTCTTATACAAAATATTACGTACCTTGACAATCGGTACCATTCCCCTTAAATCCAACGTTACATGAACAGTTAAAGCTGGCAGGAGAATTAGAGCAGGTAGAGTTGGTATGGCAGATATTTCCAATACAACATTCGTTCTCGTCTTGATAATAAAAAAATCTCTCATTGACACCTTTGGTGCAAAACAAAAATACATATGCAATTTCGTGAGCAGTACATGTCTTTAGAAAGTTGAGATAACTTTAGTAACCTTATTAAGTTCTCCCTATAGTGCACTAACAAAGACTAAAAATTTTAATAAAAAAAACCTTAAAATTTAACAAAAAAATACAAATCGGTCAAGATTGTTTAACCCTGGCTTAATAAACAATTGTGTCTTATACATCATTGCATCAATATTAAACAAGAAAAATATACCAAAATATAATAAAACTCACCGTATGCGATTATCAAGTCATGTATTTCAGCATGATAAGTAATATTTCTTTGTTTCTCGAGGGGAGACTTTATATACTTATCGATAGCGTTGTTTTCTTTGTCCAGAACATACAAGTTCAACACATCTGAAGTCACCTCAATACCTCCTGTATACGTAATGTTTAAGGCGATTGTTTGTCCATCCAGTGAAGTTTTCATAAGTCTGTGAAGAGCATCTTCGAAATTTACCCAGTAGATGACGTTATTATATGCATCAACAGATATTGACTGCGCTGATCCTTCAGCGTAGTTGAAATTTTTGATGGTTTCATCCGCTGGATTGTATCGAATGATAGGAGGATCACCTGCTCTGGCTATGTAGAGATAGCTGCATGGATAAAGAAAAAGTGGCTGTTCAGACAAAATATATAACTATCTTCCGTTAAATAAAGTTATAGACAAATGATATTAGAGCGCTCTCATCGACGGCAAGCTCGATGCAAAAGTTTGATGCAAATAAAGTGTGATTATTGGTTTATTAATCGTATCAGTTTTGCGGAGCCACGCGTAATTTATGCAACGTCAGATTTTAATAAAGCCAGGGTGATATATTATGATAAATACAATATTAAATTAACTATTAAAACTATGTTAACTACCGCTGGAAGCGTTGTTATAATAATGATTTATAGAGATTTTTAACCTGTTAATTGTGTCGACTTCCAAATCTTTAACGCTCGATATACCCGAGAGACGAACGACTTCCTTTCCTGTACCGTATGTTATATTGTATATCTCCATTCTTGAAGAAAGTGAGTGGAAATAATAAATAACATTCCTTCTTCCATCAACAGCTAACGCGGCAACGTCAGTGAATGATCTTGTAGTAGAATCTGAACCATCTAAATAATAACTTGTATATTCCCTTCTATCATCATGATAGAGATACAACCGTTTGTTGATACTATCATATGATAACAACGAATTTCCACGATTATCAATCATGCTTGCATTTCCGTTTGATTCTTCCGTATTATACGATAGGGTCCCCGATGACGTGGAGAAAAATAAATATGGTACTTGGCAACGATCTAAAAAAAGAAAGAAGTACTGATCTTGAATAACATGTCACAGTTAATAAGAGTGCAATTGAGTGTAATCAATGCATGCGTCAGTGGAAAATTTAATTAATCTAAATTTACGCACACTGTTGGTTTTTAACTTTAAAATTATCATTCAATTTTTAATTCAGTATGATTATGATTGATTCCTTTATTACAAATGTTGTGTTATCTAGGACTCATTTGGGACTAGTCGCCAAAAGTATGCTGGGATAGATACAAAATGGCGGGCATATCAGTTAAGAAGAACGTCATTTCGCATGCATAAAATTTGATAGTTTTGTTGTTATTTAAAGAAATGAAACGGACGTAGTCGGAGAATGTGAGCCTTTTAACTTATATCTTGACATTTAACCATACTTAAATTTTATAGTACATTTTATTGTAAACTGTTTTGTATTTTTATAGCTTCAGATTATACAAAATAATGAAAAGCAAGCTACGTTCGTTAGAATGTTGCATCAAAGGGAAACATCTAGGGTATAATATAGATGTACATGTAGGTTATAAATTAATATAGAAAATTTCGATCTAGAATCTTTGTTTGGAACACCAAGAGCATTAAAACATCCTCTGACTTCAGTTCACCAGAGTCATTGCGCAGAAAAGGATGAACCACGAAGGTTTACACAGTAGTTCTTGACCCAACGCGAAGCGCCAGGCGAGGTTATTAATTCCGCCCAGAGATTTTAATTACGCCCGCGAATGCAAAATCAATGTTATGCGCATGCGTGAGCTTAAGACGAGTTGAAAGTGGTAAGTAGCAAACGTCTGCAAACGTGCGATTGGCTAAATTAAATTTTTGTTCGGTTCAGCATGATATTTTAAACTTTTTTGTTTTGAAGTAATATTTTTCACTCGAATGATCCTGAAAATATTTTAAAAAAAGCAATTGATTCAAAGGGAATGTAAAAGATGCCTTCGGATAAAAAGTGGATGGTAAAAATCTACATATTGAATGTTTTTTAGAGTATTTTTGAACAGGTGGATGGGTAGATTTTGTATGTTTATCAACAAATGTGCGACACCTGCTAGAATTTATCCCTAAATTTCGTTAAAATTATTTTGGTTCGTAAAGCAGTTATTTCAACTAAGTTTAAAGGTCGATATGGTTTAGAAATGAATTGGAATTTCGCTAAAAAATGTAATATTTATTTTAACTATATAATTTAATTATATAATTTAACTATTCGTAGAAAATTATAGTTGAATTTGCATATATTTGATAGCTCGAGATCAACGTAATTATACTTGGACTTACAGGATTTTATTTATACAATTGGGAAGTCAATCATTCAGCAGCTACGAGTACTATAGCATAAAATTATAACTGTTGAAATTATAATTTTTAAGTTAATTGCATTAGGCGAGGGCATTTTACATTCGCGTATTTCTAGTTTTTAGTTAATTAACATGATAAAAATTGGTTCCACCTCGGAGCGGGCCTCTTTCGAGCGGGATCTCACCCAGCGGGCCAGTTCATATAAACGCACAGGACTTTTTATTAGGAATTGTTATCATGGCGAGATCTCGTCTGAGCCGCTGGCTGTCCCGCTAAGTTGGCCGGCCTGACCTCCATATAAACAGTTTTACTGCATGCATGCGAAGACCAATAACTCATAATAACTATAATATAGACTCATGTTAAATATTAAGATCAAAATTAATGGCGAATTATTGCTATATGGTAGAGTAGTGTTAAAATTTGAGGTTATATTTTCTTGTGTTAATTTCCCCATACTTTTCGCTTGTTTTTTTTGTAAACTTTAATCAATCATTATACTTAATTATCTGTTGCTTCTTCAAGCTTGTCAAGGGCACGTATGGCCGGTATAGGAGGTTATCTTCCCACTCTTACCTCACAAATCTACGAGTTTTTGAGCCTAAAACTTAATTCCAGTATTGTTGCGCATAAACCCGTCTATAATGATTCCTACAACTGCATGGCTCATTTTTTTCTATCAACACCATCTAAATGTGCTTAGTGATAAACTAACCTATGCAATTTGTGCCATTGTAATTGTAACCAGGCCTGCAATCGCAACGATATCTGCCGTCCTCATTGACACAAAACGATTCATCAGAACAAGGGTTAGCACCTGTTGCGTTGCACTCGTTAATATCTGGAAGAAAAAACGCGATTCTTTATTTTAAAGCATGCATCTGTATTGAAAAAGTACAAATGAAAATTTAGTGTATCATACATATATAAAACAACTGTTGAATTAAATCAGGTTTTCCAAATAATTTTTAAAATTATCAAAAAAAACATGCACATCTTGTATACCTCATACAAATAAGATTTATAAATATACTAATCAGTTACAAACACGAGTGGTTGTATTTTTTCCGACAGAACAACTAGTGTTTGTATACTATTTCCATATATTCATTACAAAGTCATTTCACAAGTTGCGGCCGAGTTGTATTGAACATATCGTATTACGCTCGTATTTTTAACCATAGTACATAAAACTATCAAATACCATGAACAAACTGGCCATGCATCATTATAGGTTGATTAACATTGGGTGAGAAAATGTTCACGAGGCAAAAAAAATCCAAATTCTAAATATTCAGATCAGCTTATCAGCAGCTTTTCGGAAATATTCCAGTAAATCTGAAAGGTCTCTACGAAATACCTCCCATTGGATCCAATTCGCCGAATTTGTTTCAAAGACAAGGATTGAGGCAGTAACATTACCAGAGACTTGGTTAAACACAACCATACCAAATGCCGAGATCAACTTGGAGGGCTATAAAATTTATCGCCAAGACCGCCTCCACAAAAGAGGAGGAGGGGTAGCTGCGTACATTCGGAGTGATATTAAGGTCACCGTACTGAAGGAAATATCATCAGTTTCCACCGATTACTTCCAGCAGCTTTGGCTCAAACTTCAGACTAAAAAGTTAAGATCTATCCTGCTCTGTGTATCATATAGACCACCAGACTGCCCGCCGTCCTGCCTAGAAAACAACCTAAAAGCAAGTTATATGCAAGCCGCCATGCAGGACAAACCCATATTTATTTTGGGAGACCTCAATTGCAACACCATGAAGGTCACCGCTGAGACCACAGCATTGGAAAACTTCATGTACGAGATGAACTTAAAGCAATTGATCACTTCACCAACCAGGATCACAAACACTTGTGAATCACTAATCGACGTAATCATAACTTCATCACCCAACCTTGTCCATCAAAGTGGTGTTATGGACACACTCATAAGCGACCACCTACCAGTATACACCGCGTTAAACATGAAACTTCCTAAGCCATCAGTACAGAGCATCCTGACGCGAAGCTATAAAAGCTATGATAGTTCAAAGTTCATTACCCATCTTGGTACAAGATCACAAGAACTCATTTCTATCTTTTTCGATTCCAATGTCAATTCAAAACTCAGAAAACTTAATGATGTCCTCTCTACTACTTTGGCTGTCCATGCTCCAATTAAAGAGGTCAAGATTCGACGTCGATCCTGTCCATTTGTTACTGCTGACATCAAAAAACAAATGATCTACAGAGACCAGCTACATCGTCGATACAAACAGACACGAGAAATGGAGGACTGGAAGAACTTTAAAACAGTCCAAAAATCAATCAAATCCACCTTAAAAGTCGCAGAGAAAGACTACGTCCGCACTGAAGTTAATACACATAAAGACAAACCTGGGTCACTTTGGAAAGTAATTCATAGCCGCATTCCGTCTAGAGACAAAACAACCCCAATATACAGCAAAAACCAGGAAGAGGTTGCCAACGATTTTAACAGTTTTTTCCAGTCAGTAGGGATAACAGCCGCCGAAACAGCTACGCAACTGGCCTTAGATAATAACATCAATATATCTTCCATGTCTGCCTGTGAAATCAAGAACCTACAATGTCCGATCGAAGAGTCATTCCACTTCATACCTGTTACCTGTGCGGAAATTGAACGCATACTAACATCTATGCCATCAAATAAATCACCAGGTCCCGACAAAATCAGTATGAGAACTATTAAAGACTGCCTCCAAGTAATCTTAGGCCCCCTGACGGATATCATCAACAGTTCATTTACAACTAATACGTTTCCAGAAGCCTGGAAAATAGCAGAAATCATACCAATATTAAAAGAAGGGGATCACGAAATAGCCTCCAACAACCGTCCCCTCTCAATGCTCAATGTAATCTCGAAGGTATGTGAGAAAGCGGCCTTAAATCAATTCACGAGTTTTTTAAACCGGACCGGCCACCTTACGGCACACCAGAGTGGAAACAGAAAGTACCATTCAACGGAAACCCTCAATATATTAGTAAACGATTTTTTCCTGAACGCAATGGATAACAAAGAGCTATCTGCCCTTATTCTGTTAGATCTGTCCAAAGCCTTCGATAGCATCGACCACACAATATTGCTTCAAAAACTAAGCAATATTGGAGTATCTCGTAAGGCTCTAAATTGGTTTAGAAGCTACCTTTCAGACAGAAAGCAATACGTACGCATTGGCTCTGCAGTATCAGAAACTCTTTCAATCACTCATGGCGTCCCACAAGGGGCAATATTGTCACCTCTGTTATTTTGCATCTATATAAACGACCTTCCAACAGCACCAAAAACAGCTAAGTTAGAATCATTTGTGGATGATTCGAAAATATTCATGTCCTTTCCAATCACGAATATAATCGATGCAAAAAGTAACATAGAAGAGGATCTTAAGAGGATTGCAACATGGTGTTTCGCAAATAAGCTGTTAATTAACCCTGAAAAGACAAAATTAATGCTAATAGGCACTCGACAGTTAATCGGAAACCTTACTGAAGGACTGGTTATCTCGTTCCTAGGAAAAGAGATCACACCTTCCTCTTACGCCAAAGACCTAGGGCTATTCATGGACAGTTATTTAAGTTATGATCATCATATACGACACGTCATATCATCTTCAATGGCAAAACTGTACCAAATAAATAGAGTAAAGGACAGCTTCGATAGCGAAACCCTCCACACGATTGTCAATGCCCTAGTGATGAGCAGATTGTATTACTGCTCTACGGTGTGGTCGAATACATCGGCAACAAACATAAAAAAACTCGAAAAAGTACAAAATTTTGCTTGTAGGATCATAACAAATACAAGGAAATACGACCACATAACACCAGTACTACAGGCGATCGGTTGGCTCCCAGTCAAGGAACATTTACAGTACAGAGATACACTAATGGCTTATAAATGCATGAACGAACTTGCACCGCCGTACTTATGTGACCAGTTTTTAAAACGAAATGCAGTTCACAACAAGAACACCCGGAATAAAGACGACCTTGACATTCCCCCATGCAAAACAACATCAGGTCAAAGAAGTTTTTGCTATAGAGCAATAAAAATCTGGAACATTTTAGATAAAGATTTTAAAAAACTACCTTTTAAAACATTTAAGAAGCACTTAAAGAAAAATATGTTAACAAATAACGTTAACGGAAACCTATCTTAGTTAAAGTATTAAAATCTTAGTATAACTATATAACTAGGATTTCTCTTAATTGTAAACATATTTTATAAACATAGCATAGTCAATAACGTAATTGTAGATAGAAATATACCTATTTTTAGCCTTGTTAGTACATACTGAAAAGCCCTATTGGGAGTATGTTTTATGTATAATAATAATAATAATAATAATAAATATTCCTAGAATTTATGCTGTTTTTCTGACCATTATAACAGAGCAATGGGAGAAAATTGTAACCATGTCAATTACCATTGCGACTTTATTCGAAGCCTAATAATTTATAACTCTTAAATAAATGTTTTTTTGGCTAATTACCCTCGCAGATGGTTCCATTTCCAGTATAACCAGACATGCATTCACATGAAAATCCAGCAAGATAATTCTTACATTCTGCTTTCGGATCACAAGGAGATGGACTTTCACTACATTCGTCAAGGTCTATATCACAAAATAAATTTGAGGAAAATAAAGGTAAACTACGGAACCAACAATCACCACAACAGTCGAATATGACTTACTGAGAGATACCGCATTCAAAACATAGAGTTCTTATGAATTATAATTTATAAATTATATTATATTATATAATTATAAATTATAGTGTTGCGTCGTTATACATTATTACGTATCGTTATACAAAAAAATGTTTTTTTCTAGCTGGTGCAGTACTCATAAATTGATATTTATGTAAAAAGTAAGAAATAACGAACTTCCTGAGAGCGGATCTAAAATTTCTAGTATTTATAAAAGCGACCAAAACAATTTACCGAAATAATAGTGAGCTTAAGCAAGTGACGTTTTTTCGTTTTTAACCGGTCACAATCCTTGACCCAGTCTTTTGACGTTATACTCATACCGTTTGTGTCGTCAAAAACGCCTCCTGCTTAAGCTCACTATAATAGTATTGATTATGCACTCCCAAAACCAACAATTAATTTTACGAAACAAAGTTACTCAGCAGCAAAACTTTAAAATAATCTTCCAAAATATGTTAAGGATAAAAACATTTTACTTTGGTTGTCTGAGCAATACTTTCAAACAGAAAATAATAATAACGATCAGGTATGTGACAGGTCAATCGAAGAAGCTTCTTTCCTCCTCTCTTTTTTTAAAAGCAATTTTAGCAGATCTACATACCATTAGTTCCAATAATATCTGCAGCTCCACTGAAAACTGTGATGTTTTGAACAACGGTATCAGTGGCTTTATCGTATTTACGAATGATTGACTGAGGTGAATCAAGAACGTAGTAATAATTCCCAATCTGGGTAATCGCTGGTTTTCCAGATCTTCCAAACGAACTGGTTATGACTGTAGTATTACCACTGTAATCAGTTTTTCTTAAGATAAAACTTTCACCATCAGCGTTATGGCTTATCCAGTAAATGATCTCATTCAATCTATCGATTGTTAGCCTAATTGATGAACTGTTTGCGTTGTATAATGTCCTTAGCACTCCACTGCTAATATTGTAAACAACTAGAGTTCTTTGCACAGAATTATCAGCAGCAAAGAATAACAACCTGAAACAGAAAGTGAGGTAATGAATAAGTTTCCCTGCCAAACTCTGCTGTACAGATGTACTCGGGGATATTAAAAAAACTATCAACCCCCTGGTTATTGCTGCATATGATTGCCATTCGCATTTATAAACTTTGCAATGAGAACGAACTTGTACGTTTTTCTCCACCAGGCCTGCACGGGGTGGAAATAAAACGAGAACGACTATAGTATACACATAAATTCTCCATTTAACGAGAGCGTGCTGCAATGCGTTTAAGTCAACTACCGTCGTGCATTGCGCGCTTTTCGTGACGTATTTTTCTCAAATTTTACTGAAACAAAATTAACTGAAAAATCAAATCACAAATTTTATTTTTGTCATACACAATATTCCTGGTGTTTAACGAGGCTTGTGACCCAGGGATATTGTTAGGTGTTTACTTTTCTTTCAATAGGGTGTTTAAGTTACCAATCGCTCCATTCCTTGTCAAATGAGAAGCGCAAAAGAGATATCAAAAGAGAAATCGCACCAATATACATAGGATAATGTGGGTTCAAATCGCATTCGAGACAATGAAGTTTTTTGTTATTCTCTTTGCTGTGACAGATTATGAATTGAGTATTTCAAATTCCAGAAACTTTTGTTCTTCCAATAAAAACATAGTGAAATAATACGTTTGATAAATAAAATAATAATATATTCTCCCCCCCAATATCAAGTTTGTCAATGTGTTATTGCAGAAAGACAACGTGCTTGTCTATCTTTTCACACGTACTCGTGTCCTTGCATGGTGGTGATACTTACTGTCTCAAAGGGTCCACCTGAATATCAGTGAGGTCATCATGGCCAGCACCAAGCACGGTTTTGGAGTCTGTTCCGTCAAAGTTTGCTGAGTTAGTATAATCAGTTGCAGAGTTTATATAATAAATCTTCTGCTGGATGTCATCCACACTGAATCTTTTGATGCGTATAACACCAAGTAACAAACGACTATTGGAGCCATCCAGTTTCATCGAGTGCAAGTTCGCGGTTGTTTGTTCGAAGACAAAAAGTCGTCTTGTTGTAGCATCGTAACCTAACTTTGCGTTAGATACTGTGCGAATAACTGTACTTTCTCCACCACCTGATGGTACGTACATTACGTGGGTTGCATTCGCGTAGCATATATTCGTTGGCTCAGCTAAGGGATATACAGGGTGTATCAAAAAAAAGGTAATCCAACTTCAACAAGCTATTGTACATGAACTACTCAGTCTATGAGCGAATTGTTTTCACATTCGGAAAGATCAGGCTTTTAACTATCGGATGACATGTTTTTAATACCAAATGGTGAAAAAATGAGCAAATACGAGGCTGATAAAAAATGTTAGTCGCAATCGCATATTTTCACCTTTGAGCCTAATTAAACCAGTGCATAACAAAAGAAAAAAACAATTAATCACGAACATGTCACAGCTTGCACTGGTTTTACGCCGCATTGCTTGGAATGTTTTCCTTATTCCTACTTAATATGCATATGCGGGTAGCTTATTCAAAAGCAAAATTCTTCAATTAAGTCCCAAAGAGAGTTAATTTTCAATGGTTTTAGTCCCAACTCTCAGAGGTGAAAATATGCGATTTCGACTAACACTTTTTATCAGCCTCCTATTTGCTCATTTTTTCACCATTTGGTATCAAAAACATGTCATTCGATAGTTAAAAGCATAACCTTTCGGAATGTGGAAAAAATTCGTTAATAGAATGAGTAGTTCACGTACAATAGCGCACCAAAGTTGGATTACCTTTTTTTTGATACACCCTGTATTCAAACGTATTGTGTGACCTTAAGCAAATTATCTAAAAACAAGGTTATGTAATTTATAATGGAAATTGCACTGAGTGGAGTGCAATTTGGTGTGAAATTAGACACGTGCGTGATTATAAAATCGCACGACCGCGAAGCGGTCACAAGTTTGATTTCTCACCAAAATTGCACGACAAGAAGTGCAATTTCCACTTTTTATATTCATTTTGAATCATACAAAAATTAAACAAATTTAAAACGATTTATTGACTGAAAGAAACGTAAACGGTGTAAAATGTGAGTAATTTTCATCTATTTTTGTCAAGAAATATTGCAGGCATTTGAAAATTCAAAATAATATAATTTTGTGCCATTTCCCCCTGTAATTTCATTGGATAGTTACACTGAAATACTAAATCTGATTGGTTATTTTGGTGTAGAGCTTCAATCTCATTGGCTTATAAATGATGTGATTAGCCCTCAAAAATAGTGCGATTTCGGAATTAACCATACTATTTTTAACCAATCAGATTGTAAGAAACACCATTGATTTCAAAATGAATATAATAAAAAGCTTAAGTCACATGCAGAGGAAACTTAAACTTAAACTCATCTAAACACCGATTTGAAGTTCCTTAACAGAGCGTAATATTTGTTCGTTTTTAACCATTCAAAACTATGGAAAGAAACGCTGAGAAAAAAGTTATAAAAATTGGTTTCACCTTGGAGAGGGCCTGTTTCGAGCGGGATCTCGCTAAGCGGGCCAGCTCATATAAACTTTTTGTTGGGAATTGTATTCATGGGAGATCTCGCTTGCGCGGGGCTGGCTGTCCCGCTATTTTGGCCGGCCCGGCTTCCATATAAACAGCCCCTTAGTTTTATTGCATGCATGCGAAGGCCAATAACTCATAATAACTATAATATAGACTCATGTCAAATATTAATTTCAAAATTAATAGCGAAAGTTTGATATTGCTGTATGGTATAGTAGAGGAACTGAGTTTTGTGTAGTGCATAGAATTGAGTTTTGTGTATTGCCCTTGTGGGGGGCAACCGTACGTACTATCAGGATGAAATTCGTTATCTAAGAACCGTATTTCTATAATTATATAATTATTACATAATTTACGAGTTTTTATGCTACAATACAACAGTCAATGCAAAATTTGCTGAGATATCGAGATATCATTCTTCATGAACTTCTGATTCCCCTATATTTAAAATGTTTCATCACCCCCACTCGAGTCTACGGTGTAAAGGATTATAACTATATTTCTCTTTTTATATAATAAATATTTGTAATGTAACTCAGATTAACCATTTCCCAATCGAGCTGGGTACTGGGTCTATTCGCGAACAGCAAAACTTTGAATTGTTTTGAGGGACAATTGATTTCAGATTTACATTTTCCTGTCCCTCCAAAAAGTCCATAGATGGTTGCGGTTCGCAACTAAACCCAGTACCCTGCTCGATTGGGAAATGGTTAATAGCTCCGTGTAAATGACCTTCAACAACCATCACTTTTTACCTGCTTTACTCCGAATCTCGTGGACAGCCAACAGCAGGGTTGCAAAAATTAACATCTAAAATAAGTAACATATCAAGGCTATAACAATATCAATAAGTCACCTATTATAAATAAATCTATATAGATATGTATATGGATCTTAGAACAAATCCCCGAGCCGCTAGGGTACTAATACCGGTAGGAGATTAGCAATTATCTATCTAAGAGAAACGATAAAAGAGGAACGATATATATATATATATATATATATATATATTAATATATATATATATATATTATATTATATTATATTATTCAACGCATGAATGAAAAAGATTTTTCAACTTTGACATAATAAGTGTGGAAACAAGCTGTAATACTAAAACGAATTATTGCTTATTTTCACATTTATTATGTCAAAAGAAAAGATTGTTTGATACGCGAGAAAAGGTTGCAGGTGGCAGAAAACTCACAAAAATCTATCCGCACACGGTGAGCTGTCGCTTCAGCTAACAGGCACGAGTAACCCCTAGCTCAGCCGATAGCTCTCGAGTGCTGCAGGCATTACGAGAGAGATATAGTTAGTCAAACTTTTTAAAATCTTCGTCTTAGTTATTGTATATTGGACAAACGTTCATAGGATTCTATGTTTCTCACTGCATGCGCATGTCAAAATAATAAACTATTGTTTTAACTACTGTAGTTATATATTTCTATAACTCTAAGTTTGTAATTGTAGTTTTTAACTTGAATTTTTTAAAAAAATTATTTGATTTAATGTCAGGGCCTCAAGGGAGAACAGTTATTACTGATTGGGTAACCCTGTGTAAATAATGCTTATCAATCAACCAAACGCCTCTAATGCTATAACAACGGTTGCCAACGGCTAAAGTTCGAAATAGATTTCGACTCTACATATATATTATGTTCCCTAATAGAAAAGTTTAGTCATCTAGCCAAACGTTTTACAACGCTAAATATCCCTGTTCAAGATGTGTATTTGAAAGTTTCATTAAACTGTAGGGAGCCATCTTGAATTCAATAACATACATACAGGGTGAGTAAAAACTTTTGAAATTCAAATTAGCCGCGAACTTCAATGGCTGGATTCTGACAATTCCCATTGTGTACAATCAACAAGACGTGGTTAATTATTGCTAAAGTGTTTAAAACAATTGAACTAATTCCACGTTCTTTCTTATTACAGAGGTTAGAATGCATTTTAACTCCCAGAGGGAGAAAACTTTATGTTCAAGGTTAATTAATAGGTTGACATATTTGATATGCTTCGTATACCCATAAGATATTTTAGGCAACTTGTGTCTTGTTACAGCCGATTACAGACACATTGCAGCTAATTTGAATTTCAAAGGTATCAGATTTTGTTGACTCACCCTGTATAATAATTAATGGTCAGACATAATAGATATCAGAACTTAAGCCAGGCGCACACGACGTGATTTTTGTCGTACGATTTTAGTTAGCTGATTTTAATCGGCAAATTCAAATTGTTTTGACATACTCCGATTGCAGTAGACCGACTAAAATCGCTTAACAATGACGTCGGCACACGCAAGGATTTTGTAGACCGAATTAAATTATACGACAGAATCAAGTCGCGTGGCTTTACCTACCTTTAGGGATAACATATTTTCCTACTTGCAGGCGTGAAGAACTTCACCAATCACCACCACAATATATTGCCTACCATTACACCGATTGCAGTTATATTAATATGTCTCCAAGCAAAATCTCAATGAATTGTATATGAAGAATATATGCAAAATAATGAAGAAATGCCTTTCAAACAATTGTAGTAAATCATTAACTCAGCGAGGGGTAAAGTGACAATACTGTGGCAACAGATCATTGATCGCAGCATTTTGCGAAGAGGCTTAGAAGATCGACTCAGCCTTTTTGAGTCTAAGTGTTTGATCTTTGAGTCGCCAATGAGAATCGTGTTCACACATTTGCTCTCATCGTCGGATGGACTGGTCGTTCGTTCTGTCTTTGTTCGCTGTTGTTATCAACCTCTTTATTTGATTTTTTTATGTCTCTTTGCTCTGTTATTGTTGATGACGTTGCTGACTTTACGTTTTCTATGAGTTCATCATCTGTATGTAGTACTTTCGGAATCACTTAAGATGATACAACTATTATGAGACTGATTCCGCATCACCTCATTATTCTTCGTCAGTTTATCTGTAGAATGTTTGCTTTGGTATTTAAGTTTCCTTTTATCTCCCTTATTTTTATTAACATAGTTCCACTGTTCTTCCTCTTGCAAGGTTTTAATTACTATTGTCAAGCTTTTTTTCTCATTTTCCAATTCTTTTATTTGACGGTTACATTTGCTAATTTTATCTTTATACTGATTATTCTCTGCTATTATAATTAAACTTCCGTTTTCTTTCTCGGATTTATTAATTTGATTGAGTTTCTTATGCATTATCTGAAGGGCGGTTAATAAGCTTGCTTTTTCATATTCAAGATTCTTGTTTGTTGAACTTAAATGAGCTATAGTGTGTTTCATGATTAAGTTTTCCTTCCGTACCTCGTCATTAGGGAGGTTAAGATCTACTTCCACTACCAGTACCGATACGAAAATACATGACGTATTACAGTTTGGCAGCGCGGAAATTTTAAAGCGTTAAGATTGTGACTTCCGTAAGAAGTAAATAAACATGGCGGAGTATAGCGGCTGTATTCACATCAAAAACTCTAATCAAAATCCTTAAGTCTCACCAAACAAAGCAGAAACATTATACAACTAAAACCTAAATAATATTATTAGAAAACTACTGCAGAAAATGACAATAATACAGTAAATATAATTCGGTACTTCGCCTACCTATCCACTTCAATTTTCAGTCCCAAAACGGTACTCGCGACTTCTAGTGTTGTCACATTTTGGACGATTGTTACATCTGCGCATGCGCGTGACTGATTATTGGTATCGGTACTCGTAGCGGAAGCCGATCTTAACCTCCCTATTGGCTCTACTCAACTCCAACTTCTCTCTCTTTAGTTCATCAGGTCTACTTTCTAGGATTACAATCGAGTACGGTTTGTTTTCTTTAATATCGCTTATTTCAGTTGCAAGGTCATCCAATTTACTCGATACTTGCTCAGCGAAGCTCTCGAGTTTAGATTTAAGGGCTCCAATTTTGAACTCAGAATTGTAACTCGTCGGACAAATGACAACCAGAGGGGATAAAAGACTGTGACGCTCTATGCAAATTTATTTCTTTAATATGCAAATCTCAGCTTGTTGACAAGTTTGTGCTCGTTTCGTCTCTTGGACTTTGAACTTCAAGATTTAAAACTTTATTTTGGACGCCCTCCTTAGTTAGTACTCCTCGGCCTTTTCCCTTTAGTCTGCATGTCATAACCCTCACACTTTACAGCATCAGATGATATATCTTTACTATTTATCTCTCTGTCTCTGTAGAAGTTTGGCTGAACATAGCTAGATCAGTCTCTATAGAATTGCTACTTCATTGCCGTACGGTCATTCTCAGCAAGCTTTTGATTTATATAAGAGTATATTCTTTGGGTGAGTTCGTCTCCATTCTCACCTTTGAAATGTTTATTTAATAAACATTTTGGCTTTTTCTATGCCATGTAACTGACAACATCTTGGATTCGAACTGTCAAGTTCCCACACTCGGTGAATGCCAAGATGTCCTTTCTTCGCTAGCACCATTGATTTAAGGTCTTCCAATGATCCTGACATCTTCAATTTACCTTTTTTAAGGTAAACGTAGCTGTATATAATGTTATTGACGGCTATGGAACACATATTTCAACGCGATATTTGTATCGATTTTTTTGGGTTAAAATGCGGACACGGATGCGGAACGGATCGACGGAACGGAACGTATGGGGTCAAAATGCGGAACGGATAATAAGTTAAAATGCGGAACGGATATGGGGTTCGTTCTGGTTACGCCCCTGTGCATGTAAAATCAATCAATCCAGTGAGCAATTATCCATAAAAGAAAAAAAAATGGATTGATTGATCATTATTATAGCTACAAGTTTGAGCAATGCTATCACATATCCGAGTACTGCATGTATGTGAAGTTAATTCGAGAGCCCCAAACAAAAACAAAAACAAAAACACTACACCCAGGCAAACAGAAAGAGCTTTTTGGATAGTATTTCATATACCTTATTTGGATTAAATACTGTATTTGGATAGGGAACAAAGGAGTTGCTGCACGCATGTATTCCTTGTTTAATATGTCAGACTATTATATACGCTTTGTTTGAAAATTAAAGAAAGTATAGTAACCATGACGTATTTTTCTTACCCAATTAACATAGAACTTGGCATAGAATTTATAATAATGCCGTTTAGGACCACCGGTTCTCAGAAAACTAGAATAGTTTGTTTGATACGACAGAGCGAAGGTGCAAGAATGAAATACACATATCAAATAAATGTATTATAGAATATCGACATAAATATTCGGAGAACTTAACCAATAACATTCTTTCATAACATGTTTTCGTTTAGAACAGTTGATACTGACATCAGCTATATTGCAAGTCAAGTGATCAAGTTCATAATGTTTGCGAAACAAAGTTATGTTTTATTGCAGTGCAAACTTTAACTACTGTATTTGCTTACACAGGCATATAAGTTTAAGTATCCTACCACCTGCTAGTCAACAAACATGGAACATGCTCTATAGTATATACAGGAATGTACAAAATCGTGCGCGTAAATATATGTATCCTTTTTTACAATCGATCAGGTGATGAATTAATAGTGATAAAAGAAAATCTTTGTACGCATTATGTCTCTACATAGAGCTGTTGCGAAAAAATTGAAGTTTAAAAATTGTGCAGTTTTCATGTGTTTCGACTTGTCACATGCATGATTTTGGTGTTTAATTTGAATGCCTTAAATGTTTGCAACTAAGAATTCTGTGCGCTTCAACAATAACATTAAGATATTATATTTCCCTAATTTAGTATAATATACTCGTGCCAAATCCAAAAATTCAGAAAATGTTTATGTAATGTACAAAGACGGCCCCTAAGATCCATACCAGGTATTTGTCGTGGATGATGAAGAAGAGGTGCATCTATATTCGGTATTCCAACACTCATACCCACCAAGATTTTCTTCACACTCGGGGTGCCCATTGGGATATTGCCAGTCGCAGCTGTACAACGCATTCCTATTTGGACTTGTAAAGATATTCCATGTGGACGTTTGCACCATAGCAAGCGTGCAGTCTGCGCATGATCCTCCACGTATGTTTAAGTACTCCACCAATATGCATTTTTGATCAGTATTATCAATATTATAGGTGAGAAAGTCAACCACGCTGGTTTTGAGGCGGACGTAATCAACCATGTCTTCTATAGACTGACTATCGTAATTACACGTCATACGGAAGTGGGTTGAGTTCTTCTGAATACTATTAAACCTTGCTTTAGACAAACGATAATCCTGCCAATTGTCAGGATTTTCTACATTTCTTGGATTATCCACAAATAACTGTTTTTTCTGATAATGTGGCAAAATATTTCCCAAGGAAAAGGACTGGACAAGGGTCCACACTTTGCCATCATGCAAATTAAAATCACAGTAAGCAGGGAAGCTTTGGTTAAAGTTATTAAACAATGTGTACACTCCAGATTGACTACCAGGATTCGCATCATATATCGTTCGGCAGCTCTTCGGGCCAATTTCGCAATGTTCTCCTTTAATTGCGAGATGTTGAGGACAAATACAGCGATATCGTTTTGTTGAGGACGTGGGACATTGTTCAATGCAAGTTCCTCCATTTAAACATGGGTTACCTGTGCTACAACAGCTTTGCTTTTGTGTGCAGCTTCCACTTGTGGTGCCCTAAAAATACACGAATTATAAATTACATTCCTGGCTGTTAAATGTTCTAACTTAAGATGGGAAATACCTAACAATAAGAAATCTACGGCAATAAAAATGGGCAAGTTCGGATGAAACTTCTCGAAATATAGTGATTTGCTGTTATTCAGGCAGTAAAACACAGTAAATAGTGATTTTTTATCCATTCGTGATATACATGGCTTTTTGAGACGAATAGAGGAAGGACTGAAGTGAACTCAATCTGATGAAAAGAACATTTTTGTCTATGGAGTTGCCGAAGGTAGAAAAAACTGACTCAGAGTAGTTTTATCTTTTCTTTGTTTTTGCACTATTGTGTACGGCATAGGAAAAGTCACTGCAATGTGACTAAGTCACTGCAATAAGTCGCCTATGCAAATGCACTCCCCAGTTGAGTTAAATTAAGTCTCTGATTGGCTAACAGCCATGTGTGAAATCGTCACGTCCAACGAGTGACGTCATAACGTAGGTGACGACTTTTGTTATGAGGACGTTTTTATTTTCTACGCGAGGTAGGAGTTCTTTTACAATTGTTAATTAATGTTCATTAATGTTAGTTTCTTTTCTGGATGCTCTTCTCTTCACTTCAGATCTTCGTCGTTTTTGGGTTCTTGTCTTGGTTGTCTGTTCTGTAAGGTTGAGCTTCTTAACGTTTCACATGCTTTTTACCCCGCTAGTCCACTGAAGATTGAGGGGTTGTGCACGCGCTTTTATAGTAACGGTTGAGGGAAACTTGCAGACGTCATCAACCAGAGTAGGCTGATCCTTATCCAACCAATCAGTGTTGCAAGTTAGAAATGTGGGTTGGTCTTAGAAGCTCGTTCCAGCTCTCATATCTTGTTTTTTTAAGGCGTTGTCGCACTAGTCGAGTTGGTCTTCTGCCCAATCGATCAATACTTAAAAATGTTCACAACTTAAAATACACATCATCAACAACTAGTAAAATTTACAAACAATACGTCTGTGAACAATATCTTTCAACTTAAACTATTTTCATTTTATTTTATCGAATTGAACTTTTGATGACATAATCTATTACATGCTTGACCGCGCAACATTTTTAACACAATTGATTGACATAAGAACTTGAATGGCCTACAGCACGCACAATTTTTATAAAAATGCGATCATTAAGATAAGTGACGACTTAAGACTGTTTATCCAGGTATTAGTTCTGAGAGGATTATAAATATTTTCACCTTATTACTTATTTAATCCCACGATATGTCATACATGAAAGGGAAAGGCGATTAATTAAGAATTAAAAAACGAGTCGCGTGCCTTTATGGTGTAATAATGCACGATGGGGGAATGTTGGGAGAATACGAGAGAAGCTTGTAAAACACGAGGCGTAGCCGAGTGTTTTACAAGCTTCTCGAGTATTCTTCCAACATTTCCCCGAGTGCATTATTACACCATAAAGGCACGCGACGAGCTTTTTTAATTCTTTTATAATATAAGAAGAAATGATAGGGCAACAACAAAGTTTATTTATTTGATCAATAATGAAATTCTCCTTACATGTTATTTAAGATGTTGCTTAGCAACAAAGACTTCAAAGCCAGAAGCGTGCATTATGGCCTCACAATGCACGCGCGGTAGCCAATCAAATTGCTCGTTATATCATACTTATATTATAATGTTTGCTAATGGCCGAGAATTATATTTACTCGGGCGTCTTGTGGCAAAAATCATTCACTAATCCCTGTCATGCAATTGATATTCCTATTCTTAAAGCTATTTTTATATGCATATATCTAAACTCAATAAAGGCTTGCGTAACACTTTTTCCGCCGGCTATTACGTCATAACGTGTGATAAATAGTTTTATTTTATTGTCATGACGACACACCGATGGCAAAGACATGAACGTCCGAAGAGAGCGGGAGTGTAAAAGAACTGATATGTGAGACGAGCAAAGTTGCAATGTTCATTTTTTTGAATAAATAATAAAGCAATCATTGAAGTGGGTTGTTGGACTAACGAGAAAACTTCGGCTTGATAGTTCTTCATATCACGTTTATAAACCGCAAAAATAGTTCTCGTCACTACAGTTACCTTTAGTTAGAACAAAAAGTTATTAAATCATCCCTTTCTGAAAATGAAACAGGCCTAAGTGTGTCATAAAACAGGCCTAGATGTGTTTTTTTCTTATTTTAGACAATCAGTTTACTAACCGAATTCTGTGTCTTCCATGACAGTTCATAATAGGAACAGTCTGCGTTGTCACTTAATGCTTTATTCTCTTGATTACCGGAGTTTAACTGGCAGGTCTTCCCGCAGACATTAATCGATTTGCACTGACAATTCTCCACACATTTTCCAAAACACCTTATCGCTGTCTCCGACGTTGTATTGACCACTACGAGGCCTTCTATTTGGCTTTTTTCTCGCTTTCCATCAGGAAAATTAACTTGTGGTGTCAGTTTGCATGTGGAGTTTACAACAGAAATGTAGAAACTTTCCAAAATGTAAATCAGGAAACAATGTTGAATATGCAGTTTCATTCTTCTTCGCTAAATCTCTATAACTGATTTAGATACATAAATAAACGACGAAAAACGACGAAAAAATTGAAATTATAAATACATATTAATATATTATACACTCCATTGAATATACTCGTGAACATGTTATTCGAACAAGACATTGAAAGACAAAAGTAATAAAATACGACGAATCCAAGGACTGCATGCACGTATTTGATTTTTTCTGGATAACGTCTTCTTTTATTTGCACTTTTTTACTGAGTGCTAGATGAGAGTTGTTTTCTGATTAAAAATAATGAATATCTGTTTAAAACTGTACCTGATGCCGTTTTCAAATATGGAGAACTCTGGTGATTGGTTTTAGTCTGAAGTTGATGTTGAATGTATACTGATGCTACGGTGACTGTTGCTCAGACAGTATGTAATATGATGTTTCATTTCTAACTGAATGAATCTATACTGGTGGAGAATTTGTAAATATTCATTTTTCTTTAACCTGATGGATATTTACATGTCTACCTGCTATTGCGGTTAGATCGAAACGTCCACCAGTCTTCTCGACGTCTTTAGTTTTCGTTACTAACAACTAAATGGCGTGAGAAAATCCGAATGCGAAGAACGAAAGTAAACGTTTTGGCCTTGCTTGTATACACGTCACTCTAAGGTCTTTACTGTACAGTGTTTAAAAACAACAACGAACATGAATCACGCATTCGAACGAGCAAATTGGAGGGGGGGGGGGCATACATTGACATTGACTTTGGTTAGGTATGACTCATGCAGTTGTTGATGTCTGGAAGCAAACTAACAGGTTTTTTATGTATGAATAATTAGTTTATAAAGAAATTTAATTGAAAATAAAATAATTATAATCAAGTATAACCAAGCGTATACTTTAATAATGCGTTAATAATAAATTTATAATCATGCGTTAATAAATATCTATGTCGCGATGTTATTGTGGTATAAAAAAATCTGTTACTCTCAAATAGATTTTCATTAAAGACATGCATGATCAGTACAAGCGAGCGACTCTTGTCGTTCATTCGTTCGTCGCTTTCGTTGATTCGTACATGTTTAAATATGCAAACCAGTCAGCTTTCAATAACAAGTACGATCGTACTATTGGACCAGGAACTGGTGAAGTATATAGATTCAATCTTTATCTCCAGGATAAATATCTATGAACCTAGGCAATCTTGCGAACAGTTATGTTAAAATTGTCGTTTTTCTACATTTTCTCATCTGCTTTCAATACAAAGACACTTAAGATGTACTGAGTTGCACATCTATGTCCTAATCTATGCCGCTGTAGCTGGCGAGAAGGTAGCGTTGCGTGCACCGTGCCACTGTCATTATAGTCGTTTTTTATGTATATGTATGCTGGGCAAAGCCTATACAAATAAATAAAAAATAAGTAATGCCCTAGAGAGAAACGCATTTAAAGGCCGGCGCACACTAGAGCTATGTGCTTAGCAAAAAGTCATTCGTGGCCATCAGCGTAAGGCAGTTGCTCTCGTGTACGGGCGACTTTACCGGCGACTTTTGGCACGGACGAAAGTCACTGGAAAAGTCGCCCGCACACGAGAGCAACTGGCTTACGCTAATGGCCACAAATGACTTTTTGCTAAGTACATAGCTCTACAGGGTGTCCCAAAAAAAACGAAAACTATTGAAATCACTCATTGTTAAAATTTGAATGCCGCGTTCGCGAATTTTAGCCCGTGGGGCTAAAATTCAATTAATGCAACTCAGTAAAATAGTAAATGCTTTGTGTTGCTACAGAGAGGGGACATGTCGAAGGTAATGGTGATTGAGATGCACATTTAAATATTGTAATTAAATATCATTTTCGCGTACGAGCAAATTTTACTGCATCATATGCATGCATAAAAATGCTTATGGCATGCAAACATTTACACACCTGTGGATCCCAACAGAGTGCTTAGGCATTCAAACTCTAACAATTACATTGTTATGGGTGATTTCAATAGTTTTCGTTTTTTTTGGGACACTAGTGTGCGCCGGCCTTAACGCAATGGTCATACTACAGGGTGTCCCAAAAAAAACGAAAACTATTGAAATCACCCATAACAATGTAATTGTTAGAGTTTGAATGCCTAAGCACTCTGTTGGGACCCACAGGTGTATAAATGTTTACCGCCATACTCATTTTTATGCATGCATATGATGCAGTAAAATTTGCTTGTTCGGAAAAATGATATTTATTAGCTAACAATATTTAGAATTTACAAATATGGATAACAATATTTAAATGTGCATCTCAAGGACCATGACCTTCGACATGTCCCTTTCTCTAGCAACACAAAGCATTTAGCATTTTATAAGTTGCATTAAATCCCCACGGGCCGAAACTCGTGAACACGGCATTCAAATTTTAACAATGAGTGACTTCAATAGTTTTCATTTTTTTTGGGACACCCTGTATAGTCATGAATATATATTGGGACAAAACAAAGAAAATACACGACCTTCTGGCTTGAACTCACAGTATATGAATATTAATAATAGACAGATTTAGATTGAGGACGCGGACGTCAAGAGGACGTGAAATTGCGCGCAAAGGTCTGGGTCGAGAACGCCGTCGTGTCGAGTACCAAAACAGATTTAGATTGTGTAATCAGGACGTCAAGAAGACGTTTAAAGCGTATTAGATTACAAATGCAGTAAAATGAAAAAGATTCCTTTCACAGGCCCAGACTCACCTAATTTTTCATGATTTTTTCCGACAAATTTGATGGGAAAATTGGATGTTAATGCAAAACAGACATGGTAAAAACCACAACCAAATATTGACAATGTTTTAAATTTATGAACAAGTTAAATCGTATAAAGTTTATTTTATACAATGTGCCTAGATTGTGACTAAAATAGCTGAAGTGAACTTGTAGCTTTAATATTTTGTTTTAATGATTATCCTTTGTGATTGTTCACAATACACATAATTGATTTTGAAATAAATTTGCCGTTGAATGTCTGTAGTGTACTCAAATTTCGTGATGCTGTCGTGATGTTTTATGGTTTTAGCTGTTTTTTATACGAAATAGTTTATGCCAATAGCTGTGCAAATAGTTTGTGATGGCCCTTGGTGGCTTACAATCTGTTCGCAATGCTTTAATGCTTGCCAGAGAAAAGCAGCATATTTCTAATACCGAATTTATTTTGCTGTTTGAATATAATTTATCCAAACCATTATTTCCATACTGGAAATTTGAATCATTTGATCTGGATTCTTGGGATGATGAAGAATGCAAGATTGAGCTGAGATTTGTCAAGTCACACATGGCCTTGTTACAGCGTTTGCTCAGAATTCCTGACAAGATCACTTGCCAGCAAGGAACTACATGCTCTGGTAGAGAAGGACTATGCATCTTTCTTAAACGACTAGCTTACCCATGCAGGTATTCCGACATGGCTATTCGTTTTGGTAGAAACCCATCCGAGATATGCCTCATATTTAATAAGGTTCTAGAATTGGTCTATGATGCAAACCATCACCGCCTGGAGAGTTGGAATCAACCTTTTTTGTCACAAGAGCTGCTACAGACTTGTGCTGATGCAGTACATGACAAGGGTGCCCCATTGGAAAACTGCTTTGGATTTATTGATGGCACAGTTCGCCCAATAGCTCGTCCAAAATACTACCAGAGAGAAGTGTACAATGGTCACAAGAGGGTGCATTCGATTAAATTTCAGAGTGTTGTACTGCCGAATGGTCTTATTGCTAATCTTGCTGGGCCTTATGAAGGTAAAAGACATGATAGTACAATGTTCGTGAGTCACAGCTGCTAGCTTCTTTAAGGGAGGTTGCCTTCTACAACAACCAACCACTCTGTCTTTATGGTGATCCAGCCTACCCATTGGGGATACATTTGCAAGCACCATTTAGAAATAGGGAGCTTACACCTGAAAAGAGGGAGTTTAACAAAGCTATGAGTGCTGTGAGAGTCTAGGTAGAGTGGATGTTTGGTAACATCACGAAATATTTTAGCTTTGTGGATTTTAAAAGGCAGATGAAAGTACATTTAAGTGCAATCGGAAAGATCTATTGTGCCTCTGCATTACTCCAGAATGCCCATACCTGTCTGTATGAGAATATTGTCTCTCAAACATTTCAGCTGCAACCACCAACAATTTATGAATATTTTTGGTGATATTTCACTAACAATGTCTCATGGCTGTAGCTTTGGGAGGGAATAGTTGAGAAGAGTGACATCCCTCTGATATTGGCTGACCTGTCACCAAAATGACAAATTTATTGGCAAATCATTCTATACTCTGCCAAAAATATTTCAGTGACTCAGATCAAAAGTAATATCAAAAATTTTACCCCCCCCCCTTTTCAACAATTTTGGTAAAGGAAATGTTATTTCTGGGCAGATTATGACATAGACATAGACAGATATAGACAAAATATTACACATTAATTAATTAGCATGAAGAGTTTGACCTTTAAATAAAGTTGTAAACCTGTTTTTGAAACTGTTCAAAATAATTGACTTAATTCACAATTTAAAACTTGTGTTGTAAATAATTACATATTATAATACCTCAATGTTATGTAATTAAAACTTTTTTTCAAACAGTTTTCCCAAAATTTGTGTTTGCTGTTGCTGTTGTTGCATCATAGCCATCATTTGTTGTTGCATAAATTTAAATTCTTGCTGTTGTTGTTGTTGCTGCTGTTGTTGTTGCTGCATTTGCTGCTGAAGGTATTGTTCTGAAAGCTTCATCTGCATTCCAAATTGCTGTTGTGTTTGCTGCATCACTTGCAGAATTTCCAAATGTTGCATCCTCTGTGCTTCCGTATGTTCTCTTTTCTCAGCCTCCTTCACCCTTTTTTCTTCTTTCTCCAACTCTATCCTTTCTTGTAACCATTCCATCATCTCCCCTGATTTTCTTCTCTTTTGTGTTGCTGCACCACTTTCACTTGTTTCTCCCAACCTTTTTCTTGTTTGCCCGACCCTCTCCATCGCTCTCTTCCTTATTTCCAATGCTTGTTCTTTTTCATTCTCAATCCTTTGATTTTTAGCCTCTGTCTCATTTTCCATCAACCGATCAGTGTCGTCTGCCATATCAATCAATTCTTCCAGCAACATTTCGTCTTCAGTCAGCTCAGCACCACCTTCACCTGTTGATCTCTCTTCTCTGGCCATTCTAGCTCGATATTTTTTTGATATCATCTTATAGTGGTCTCGTACTGCCCTTGATGTGACATCTTGACCCATAGCACTCATGTTGTCAGCCACCTTTTGCCACTGCATTCCCCGTTCCCTCGACCTCTGCTTGTGGACAAGAACACCCTCTGCGGCAACCTCTTTCAGCAATTCAAGGTCTTTTGCTTTTGACCAAACCATACTGCACCTAGTAAAATATTTAGTCACAATACTAGCAATATAATAGCATTGTACTCTAGTCAGACATCATACCATTGATACCAACAACTTCGTAATAATTTTAATAATTTTGCAGGTCGGATTTTTAGTTACCTTTTTTTGGGCAGTCACCTTCCTTGTCTTCCATAGCAAGAGAATTAGCTGTAAAAAATCACAGTTATCTTTAGTTTATATCTTTGTATAGTAATTACTAAATTACAGCAAATTAAGAAGGTACTAGTACACTAAATCGATGTTTAATACTAAAATAATATGAAAAGCGATATATAAAAACTATGAAAACTATCTCTGAAAACAAAAGTAAAACCGTATGCCCAAAAATTACGGCATTAAGCGAATTCGTGGTTTATGTTTTTGAGTTTACACTGTGACTGTATATATGTTTGTTTATATAACCAAATACCGAAACCACTGCAAAACCGGAAACAAATTTTGCCAAGTAAATTATGCAAATTAAATCAGCTTGATCTGCATAATATACGAAATCAACAAGGACAGTAATTTGTAACAAAGAATAAATTATGACTTTTATTCCTTTACGTACTATTTTTCAGGAACAAAATAAACAAAAAAACTTGACGTCCTAGGCACGACGTGAAAACTTGCTTTTGCCGTCCTGAAAATCACGAAAACGACGTCGCTATAAACACAACGCCATATTTTCGCGCCATATTACGCCATTCAACGTCCTCTTGACGTCCGCGTCCTCAATCTAAATCTGTCTAATATTAAAATTTCCCTCCCGCCACAATCTGACATGGCTTGCAAATCTTCTGAAGAATACAAGCACAAACAATTTAACTCCGTAAGTCGATAGAGAATAACCTTTAAGATAGTTGTGTGAAGTTTTATCACGATCTGGTGCGAAATGACGGAGCCTTAGCCATTTGAACTTGCTTCAGTTATGCATATTAATATTGAATATAATCTATACGGATTACTACGCTACAATTTTTAGTTGCTTCTAAATTTCTTTAAAATCAAAAAATCAAAATTATAACTCCGTCAATCGATGGGGAATATCGCTAAGGATAGTTGTGCGAAGTTTAATTGCGATCTGATGCGAATTGACGGAGCCTTAGGCTTTTTTAAAGAGCGTCACCCCCTAACAACAACAACAACAACAACAACAAGATTAGCAGCGTGTGGGGACCAGTTCCTGGTCCAAAAACATTAGCATACTTGCATATTCGTTCGTCCTCGTTCATGTTATGAGGGTCGAAGCTATCTTACCAAAGCTTGAATATACCATATTGCCACAGCATTGACAAGAGCACTGTACCGGCATCGCAAAAGCGTAGGTTCGATTCCTGCCGGAGGACCTACAGTTGACTCATTTTTCCATCAACTATTTCTGGCTTGAATTTGAAGTGTGTATAATTCCACTCGACTCTTCAAACCTTTAGAATTTACCTGCATCGAGTTAAGTGCCAAAAATCATAATTGATTTACCCTCAATATTATTGTATCTGCTTAGTACGAATTTTGCTCTGGTAAGCTATTCCAAATACTTCAGATAAGATCCATCAGTCTGCATGAAACATTGAAGCCACCATTTGAAAGATAAACATTATCATTTTATCCCAAAGGCCATTCACAATGTAAATAGCTATAATTTTTACTACATAAATAAAAAAGTAGCCACTATAGCGTCTTATTGTTCCCTTGTTTTGCTGTCTTTTAACTTTAGAGAGATTATAGCAGAAATTTAAACATTCTACACATAAATATCAATCTATACATCTTCACATACACCTTTCAGAAAACGATACATTGAGAATATCCACATCGCTATCACTATATCGACAATGTTTGTCGCAGATTTCTCGGTGCTTGCTGTCGAACTACAGGGTGTCCCAAAAAAACCGAAAACTATTGAAATCACTCATTGTTAAAATTTGAATGCCGTGTCACGAATTTCAGCCCGTGGGGATTTAATGCAACTTATAAAATGCTAAATGCTTTGTGTTGCTAGAGAAAGGGGACATGTCGAAGGTCATGGTCCTTGAGATGCACATTATCCATATTTGTAAATTGTAAATATTGTTAGTATATATCATTCTTGCGAACAAGCAAATTTTAATGCATCATACATATATGTATGCATGCATAAAAATGAGTATGCATGCATAAAAATGAGCATGGTAAACATTTATACACCTGTGGGTCCCAACAGAGTGCTTAGGCATTCAAACTCTAACGATTGCATTGTTATGGGTGATTTCAATAATTTTCGGTTTTTTTGGGACACCCTGTATACCGCCACAACCTACGCCCAAAAATACCGTTTCTAATTCATGTTATATACAGATCAAATTCCTGCTGAATGTCATTCGAAACAAATCGGAACATAAAAGATGTCATGTTGGACGTGGTTGACTGGCAGATCTTGGCACTCTTTGAACTTAAACAAGACGCCTGTTCTGGCGTTAACTCCGGCGTGCCGCGCACGTGCCAATCCTCAATATAAAGCTTCTGAACATATACAGTTCATACTCATTTAGATGCCTTGCGAACCTAATGTTGTTCGATCGCGACATTCAGAAGCACATCATACAAAGTATAGAAAGTATAGAAGTATAGAAGTTCGTACAAAGTACAGAAGCACATCGCACAAAGTATACAAGTTCCATTGACATGTTCACAAATGTAAATAAACCGCATGATACGTTCATTTTGTCTTACACTTTGGTATTCGCGCTTATAAAATCTTCAACCCTGTGCAAACTGTGACGTGTCAAGGCGCCCATACACGACCACATCTTCTTAAACGGCGAAATAGCAGCGATATTATTAAAGTAGGACCTGAATCTATATGTATTAAATATATTCTTACCCCAATTAATCGAACAGCATCAAAAGAACGGTTTATTTTTTTCTCTTGGATGAATTTCCGTATCATTCGAGCGAAATCAAATCGTGCATCGGAAATTTAGATTTCGAGCTGTGTACCACAACTCTTGGGAGACAAAAAAAAACAACAAAAACAAAAACAAAATTTTCGTCTGAATAATAATTACGTACATCGATTCCTTTCTTTGTTTGCCGTATTTCCATAATATTTTTAGCCAGCAAGTCCAAAATTAACCCAGCTTGCGTGAGAAATTACCTTGAACTAAGGATTCTTTGGATTCCCGATTTTCGACATGTTACTATGGCCCTTCGTCTCTCGCTTTTTTTTCTAAATTTCTATCCGCAAAATATCCCCGCCCGCCCGGCGCTTACATGATATAAAACCTGATAATAATAGACGGAGTAGAATCGCGGCACGCGCGCGCCACGAGAACGATCGAAAACGTTTCTGGGCTGCCGCCTATATGATTAAACCAGACTAACGATTATTGCGGATTATAATATACCTGATTGCCGTGAACGTATTAACTCAATTCTTTGGGCATAACTTAACTAGGTGTAGCTCAAGGGACGTATGTCTCTCACTCACACTTTATTCAAACGTCTGTATTTTAAACGCTCACTCACACTCAAACTCATTGAGTGGGAGATCTCAATCTTCTCATAACTTTTCCATTGCGGTATTTTCAGTCAAACAATAGCTTGATTTTTAATGTTTACCGTCAATTATTCCATGCATTGATGAAGAAATAACTTTCTTATTCATCAGTAATGACAACAGTTACACTCAATGAGTGTGAACGAGCTTTTTCAATACAGACGAAGATTTGAACTTCACTTGGGTGTGCAAGCAGTGTCTTTGAACAATTGGAGTTTGAGTGTAGCATTACACCACGGCCTAAGATTTATTTATGATAGTCGAATTTCCGTATAATTTACTTTTTCCAAACCTAAGTTTTGATTTGTACTTGTATTTCTGTAAGTTTTATACGGTTTTATTTGTTAGTTTTCGTGTTGTTATATAATGTACCCCTTGTTCTGGGTTTGCCGGTGATTAATTTATCGAAAGCTCTAATGTAATCAATAGAAAGAGGTCTGGATAAACAATAAGAATTATTATTCTTAATTAATTAATAACATTACGAAATACCATAATTTCAAATATTATTTTCAGTGAGTGGATAAAAGTTTTGGGACCGATTTTTTTTGAAATTCATAATCACTATTATTTCAGGTATTCTCAGTTTAAAATTGTGCTGCAGTAATTTTCCACTCACGGCAGGATCTTTCTTTCTTATGAATACTAATCGTCAACATCCTAAATTGGCAAAAATGTTTCATTCCATTGATATGCAAACGACTAAATTTTACCAATTCACCCCATGCCAACAATTTTCCATGGTTACCAGTAACGTAAAGAATAAAAATTCCTTATCGGCAGGGTATAACTTTATCACTATATGAAAATTTAATAACACTGATTTAAATTGAGTAGGCCGATCTTTCGCTTCTCGATACTCCCGATAGACTCCTATGAAACGATTTAGAAAAGGTAAGTGTTTTTTTTATTTCACTTTTAGTCTACTTAGTTTACTTAGAAAATCATAGCAAACCAGTTTAACTGAAAAATTTCACTTTCCTGGTTGTAATATGTGTCCATCGCGCCTACTATAGCTTCCGTCTGTTTAATGTTAGTATTGAATCAAATTGACACATGTAATATCCTAAGCTGCTTTTTATTTCTCCTACGTGTTTTGCCTCAGTTATCTGCAATCAACTGAAGACAGCGAAGTGCAATACATCAACATTTGACTACCGGGAAAATTTACGATGCTCAAAATACGTTATATTGTAATTATAATTGGATTTTCTGCTACTAACATTCGAGTTGTCATTGAACTTAAGTAAATGGAAGAATGGCGGGAAAATTATTATCAGGAGACCAGACAAACTTCAAAGTATCTGTTTACCTGAGCTAGCACGGCTTTACCGAGCACAAATTTTCTGCATAATTTTCCGCACAATTTACAGCATAATATTTAAATAGTATGGTTTAACAGTTCAAAATTTTGATGCCATTAAGCCGGTGAAATTGACTTATTATGAACTTTGACTTATTTTCATTTTATCTTGCATAATGCCGTGATGTCTTTATTTGCGTCAATGTAAGGCAACTTGCACTAGCACGTAAAACCGAGAAAAGCGGCTCCCTGTTATCTCAACTTAAGGCCAGTTTTTTACTTCCTGTGTCATTTACATTCCAAAAACATATTCACCTTCAAAAATACTACGTGCTCTTTTACGGTGGTGTTTCAGTGCCCTTTGTTAATTTTTAAGTATTTTTAGAAACTATGTCAAGTTAATTCTATACATTACCCAAATATGGATTCTATGTGGCCTTAGCTCTCACATTTTTGAACTTATAATTAATTTGCTACTGTAGAATATAGGCGTTTCTGCGATCTGCATGGGCATTTTAACATAATTTTTCAATAATAATGAGCAACATAAATCTTCATTAGTTGATGCTTGCCATTGTTCAAATGTGCATGCCGCTGATCTAATAATACACTGGATAAAGCAACTGTCCACAAGGAAGCCAGAATTAATGAATCTCCAGAGCTCTCATTGGAATAGTTAATTTATTACGTGATCGACCAGAAAGAGTGTTTCTGTGTATACCTCTGTATGTTCATGGTACGGTTCTAGTTTGCATCAGGGGCCGGTTGTACCAAGCACGTTTAGCTTAAACGGTGGATAAGTTCAAAATAGAAAGCGAGTCTATCTTTTTATTCAACAAGCTAACTAAATGTTTTTAACCTTAATACAAACTTTAAGATACTGTTTACAACTACATATTTAATGCATAATATTCAAGTTCACTCATTCAAGGGAGATGTAAGAGTGTTATTTAATTTTGACTTATCCACCGTTTAAGCTAAACGGGCTTGATACAACCGGCCCCAGGTTTACTGCATGGATTAATAATAGTGTCAACGGTGTTGATCATGAGCTCAATCTTCGTAGGTTAGTAAGATCAAGTGATGTATACTCAGAGAAGTTAACTTTTAAAAATTTACGACAATTTACGGAAAATAGCTGACAGTTTTGGCAATTTCCTTTGATTTTTACGATTTGAACGGCATTTGTTCTGTTATCTAAATGCTAACCGTCGAAACTCTCTTAACGTCATATGGGAAAAGTATATTTAATATTTTGAAAGTAATTTGGCCTTTGAAAGAGACAAACAACAGTCATTTCTGCACCCAACAGGGAGAAAGCAAGAAATGCAATTTAATATTCTATCATCTTTCGACGATTAATTCATGTGAGGTATGAATCACACTGCCAGTGCCTGGCGCTAACTAAATGAGCTTCAGTATTTATACCATTTATATTATTTATAGAAGTAAGAGCGATGATTCTCAAGGCAAATAAGTTGTTTCTATGCTGTTTAATAACATTGACTGTAGGTAAGTGAAACCAATTGATTTCAACGTATTTGGCAGTTATAATTAAGTCTACTTTTCATATTCGATCTGATGATTTTCTTAAGTTGGGAGTCTCTAGACGTGAGACGTAATAATATCAAATCGATTTACATGCATGTATAAAATAATTAGTGATCTTACTGCTCTAAATTTAAAACATTTATTTCGGCGATGCTATGAGGGCGATTCCCTCTATGGCTATGATCTTCGAAATCGTAAAACGGATTTAATATTACCAAAACCTACGAAAGAATTTCCGAAAAGAATTTTCAAATACAATGGAGTTTTCCATTGGAATAATCAACTTTTTGAGGCAAAAACTGCCGATTCTATTCAATCATTAAGGTGGATAATAAAATCTATTTTGAAGTGAAGCTGACCTGTCCTCATTGTCATATCGTTCTTTGCCTATTGCTTGTTCGTTGTATAATCTGTTTGTTATCATTGTACAGTATGTTCTACCGCTTCTACGTAATCATTTATTTGTATATACCCCCCTCATGAAAAACAGCAATGCTGATCAGGCTAGCGTCTTTAAATAAAGTATTATGTAGGTATGTATGTATGAATCCGCTTAGACGAGATTAAATAGGCTGCGATATGACTTTGAGGTACTGAAAATTGAAATGAGTGCATAACAAGATCCTGGCAGTCTTGTAGTCCTCCCAACGATACCATTTGCTTGTTTAGTTTCAGAAAGACATAATTATTTCAATATCTCAAAATGACTTCATGCTTCGTCGTTATGATTGCTTTCCAAATAAATCAATCAGACATCAGACGAATATATGAATATACACCCCCTCAAATTAAGTTCTTTAGTTCCTGCTCTGTTAGCCACTAATTTTAGTTCCTGTATATAAGTAGGGGTTAAGTAATCAATTTATGTGAAACTAATGCAAGTATATATAGCATGACTATATCACACAGCCTTGGACTAGAGGTACAGATCTAAGTACTGTATAATCAAATTTCTGGTTTTGCTAGATAAATTATATTTGAAAGATCGAGATGTTTTTATGTTCTCTGATACAAAGACTTTTTATCCACAAAATACTACAATAAAAGCTATAATCATGCTGTGACCACAAAAATGCTTCAATTGAAAATGGAAAACCCTCTAATCTGATAACTGTTGTAAGAACGATGGAACTAAGCTAAAAGTTACAGGAAATACGTGTTAAGCATACGCGAACAGCGGGGTATAACTCGGCGGATCGTTTCATGCACAGTAAACCTCGTTTCCATGTCATGCGTAGGCACGGGTTTCGCAATCGGTTTATGGAATTTTACTTCTCATCTTGGCCTTGCATCGGTTCATAAACGGAAATAATTATCATTGTTGCAAGAAAGTCCTTCCATCCACAGCTGCTTATTCGACACCGAATGAGCAATTCTTAATCATTTAACCTTAGAAGTTTGGTGAGCAAGAAGAGTTATACATGCTCAACAAAATATGACTTGCACAGAAGATTTTTGATGCTTGCACACGGTAAAAACGAATCGTCTGACTTAATAATCTTGTGTATACTCAAAATGGCCATTTCACAGCGGTCAGATGTATATGATGAGCTGTCAAAACTCAAAAGATTGCAGAAAGCGTATTCAAAAACTGAATAGTTTTCAATAGTTTACTCTTTGATATAGCGATTTGAAGCCTCAAAAACACAGAGAAACATTAATTTTAGTGTTGGATCAGAACTGTCAGGCATTCTTGCTTCTGTGTAGTAACCACGCATTCCCGTGATTAGAGTTTCGGGTTAAAGCTTCACAATTTCTGCGGTGTTTGCTTATTCAGTTATTGAAGTTTGATTTATACAAGCGATATTTGAGGTCGTTGCGAAGTGTTATATTAATTATTCCGTAAACTATATAATTTAAGTCAAAAGCAAAGCTTGCAGCTAAAAATGACACTGGAAGGCGTAGCCAGCACGATAATTGGGGGGGGGGCTTCCTTTTGTGGTATTCGTGACTCTCTATGTTTTTTATTTGCAAGACCCAATCCATTTTCGACGTAAGGAATGCAGCGTTGCCAAATTAGCCAAATATTATTACCATAATCGTTGTTTTCTTTGTTTTAAACAAAGAAACAAAGGGTTGACTACAACAATGTTTGGATTCTTCTTTCAGTAATCTGGTGACCCGGAAGGGTCAGTGTATGTATAGTCCGTTGTTCAAAAAGCGATACTCGGCATTGCATTTTGTTGATTGGCTGCATGCCCATATACAACATGAATCCCTCAGACGAATTTCATAATTCATACAACCTTTCACGCTCATTATACCCGTCCTTTTTGATGGAATTTGATATTGGATCGTCTTTTTTCAAGTAGAAAATGCGAATAACCAACTTCTTGTATAGGAGATGTATTTTACCAAACCACTGCAATGGATTCGGATGAAAACGTCGAGATGGAACAAACATGGGAGCAACAGAAAATCATAAGTAAGGTCAACAATATCAATATGGCATTGCAAGTTCTCTTGTTTTCTACGTATATTAGCTGCTTCATGCAGTTTAGGCCTAAAAACGAGATAGTGCGAAAATTATACCGTTCATGTGCAAAAATAACTTAACCCTGCGGTTTCGGTCGCCCGATAGAAACTAAAGACGACCGCATTGGTGCCCGTCACTTTCCCTCGCGCCTAAGTTGAACATGACGTTTGAAAATTAAATAGGCACGGATCCCAAGTACGGGTGGATGTAGTACTCATGCGACAGGGCACTTTGTTGAGTGTGTTCAGCATGTTTATGAAATAGTTTTGACTTTGGGCACCGGCCCAGGCATTCTTTATGAAACATCCGATGATTCAGCGAAATATTTCATGATCTATAAATAATGTAATTAAATGTAATTTCATAATTATATCAGAAGAAAAAGGAGGATTTATACAATGTATGTAAAGTTCTTTTAAGGACGCTAGCCCCGTTCAGAACCATTTTTACATCGTATTAGCTATTTGGTAATCAGTCTTCTTTAACTTTCTAAACATTGTTTGGCTCGTATCAATAGATCTGAAAAGGTTTCTTGAACAAGAAGACAAATCAAGCGACAAGTTAGTCGCACTTCTTGAACAACCAGTAAAGCAAATTCGGGTGAAAAGGAAAGATCCGGAAAACTCAGGAAGTGGATGTGGATACATTCCTTCAGGTAAATAAAAAGCGAAAAGTTCAATAATTTTACACAATAGTTACATTCAACGAAAAACTTGGCCAATTGCCCACAACACATATTTATTCTTTTTCCTGGTGAAATTAACGTATTTATACTCAGGCGAGTGTTTGAATTATCCCTTAGGGATAATTGAGTATTATTTCTATGAATTAATAATTCTGTGAATTGTATGATTATTTCTATGTATTATCCTAACCAGGATTTTTCTGTTAGGTAGGCAATTGACCTTGTTCTGGTTAATTCAAATCTAACTAGAGTTCTTCTAAAGAAATTAATTATCTTCGTGAAACGAGTTTTATTCTGAGAATATCTTACTTTCCTTCTAAAAAATGGCTGTTTGGTAATCTTACACTCAAAAAGAGCCTCCCATAACTTAATGCTATATAGCCTCGATCGCTGGAATGTTAGAGTTTTGGCATGCATAGTTCATATTTCACAATTGACTATTGAAATTGACTATCATAAAAGCATTAGAAAAAGTTATTCGCCTATTCTCGCTTCTAATTCACCTAATCTGCGGAGATTTTTTCTACCCAATGAACGTTTATCTTGTCAAAATACACGCTCTCAAAGTTTTTTTCCTTCATTTGCAGATAACTGCGCAAGCTCCCCATGTAGCGCTAATGCAAACTGTACAAACACCGATGATTCATATCTTTGCAAATGTCAAACTGGTTATGAAGGAAATGGGAGACACTGCACAGGCATGTCAGTTTTAACTACTAGAAATACATGCTTGCAAAGTCCCCTCACCTGAAGCAATAAACATATATTTCCATCACTGAAATTCTATAATACTCGTTTCTGCTGAATGATCGAAGTCGTAAAAGTAAAATCCTATGTCAAGTACAATTATAAAGTCGACTCTCGAGGTATCACTGAATTCGGCTATAATCATAGTTGTGCTACGAATAGTTTTAAATACTACAATTTTTAGCAAAATTTCAATTATTTTTTAAACAGATTCACTTTCGATTATTATTTTTTATCAATTATTTTTTATTCAGATTCATTTTCGATTCGAAGGCATCTTTTATATTATATTTTAATCAATTTTACGGGTCAATTTTTCGTATATTTTTAAGACCATGCAAATAAAAAATACTAATTAAAAGAAGTTTTATAATTTAAAATATCAGTTATGCTGACGTGAACCTAAATTTAATTTGGCCAATCGCACGTTTGTAAATGTTTGCTACAATCCTAGACAAAAAACACGCGGACGCTATTTATAATGGCTGAACTTTCGGTCTGTCAATAATTTTTTCGCATGTGTAGTCGTATTCCCCGCTCCCTAGGCCTTTTGCAATGTTGTTGGGAATAGTATCGCAATAATCGCCATAACAATTCAAGTGTTCATCAACATTGTTTCGGGGGGAGGGGGTCAGTTTTATGAGGGATATGTAAATATTTGTCACTGATAATTTCTTCATTCCATGTTTGTCCCAGCAAATTTGTCTATGATTGTAGTTACCAGTTTTAACCCGTCGTAAACTCACGCATGCGCATAACTTAGAAAAACGCCCAACGCTCATGACATAATGGCGGACAACTTTCATTTAGCATTTGCAATCCCGGGCGTAATTAAAATCTCCGGGCGGAATTAGTACCCTCGCCCGAAGTACCGGCTTGGGAATTATATTTGTAGTTTACTAAGTGCTCTAGTCATGGTTCTCGGATCTTTATCGATGTTTCCTACTTCTTCAGATGTCAATGAATGTAAAAGCTTCCCATGTGGTTTTAACGCAAACTGTGCAAACACTAATGGTTCATATCTTTGCCAATGTAAACCTGGATATGAAGGAAATGGAACCAACTGCACAGGTATGCCAGTCTTAGCTATTTATATTTTAAGTTTATACCAAGTTATACCAAGGCCTGTTTCAGACGTCGAACTTTTCATGTGCGGAAACTAATGTTAATGAGCAAAAGGCTTTGTTTAAGTTCATTTGCACTCGATTCGGCATGATTAAAGTTCGAAGTCAGAAACGGGTCTAATGTAGGTCAGTGGCCCTATAAAGGCCTTGGTTAAACGTCGCATTTTTTGCGCGTCGAATGCAATTCAAACAGTAGATAATTAGATGATAATGAAGCTTAATGAGGTTTATCATTTCATTATCTTGAATTGCATTTGACGCGACCAAAATGCGAGATACAACGTAGGCCTAAGTACTAGTTTTCTAATCATGGTTCGCCGATCTTTATAATATTTTCTTACTTCCACACTTCAACAGACGTGAATGAATGTAAAAGCTTTCCATGTGGTTCTAATGCAAACTGTACAAACACTAATGGTTCATATCTTTGCAAATGTCAACCTGGATATGAAGGAAGTGGAATCAACTGCACAGGCATGCTAGTCTTAGCTATTTATATAAGGCCTGTTTCAGACGTCGAACTTTTCATGTGCCAAACGTAATGTTAATGAGCTAAAGTCTTTGTTTAAGTTCATTTGCATTCGATTCGGCACATGAAAAAGTTCAATGTCTGAAAGACTGAAACGGACCGAAAGGCGGTGTTCCACTAGGCGAATTCTTTTTATCGAACGAAATTTTTCGATCGATTTTCTTTTCACTTGGGCATGGGACCGGTGAAAGGAATCCGCTACGGTCGAATTCTCACAATTCAAAAAAAGAATATAATGCAGACGAAAAATTTAATTTGGTCAAAAAATTCCGCATAGTGGAAAATCGCCATAAAGCCGAGGTTAATACGTCACATTTTGGTTGCGTCGAATGCTATTGGAGCAATTTAATAATGAGATAATAATGAATCTTAATGAGGTTTATCATCTCATTATCTGATTATCTATGGTTTGTGAATTGCATTATGATTGCATTCGACGCGAACGAAATGCGACGCATAGCCTGGGCCTATGTTCAAGTCATGGTTCGCTCATCTTTATCAATGTTTTCTACTTTTCAGCTGTCAATTACTGCGAAAACGCCACATGTGATTCTAATGCAAACTGTACAAACACTAATGGTTCATATCTTTGTGAATGTCAACCTGGATATAAAGGAAATGGGATAATATGCACAGGCATGCTGGTCTTAGCTATTTATATACATTTCAATTTATTTAAAGGCCATGTTACACGGTGCAATTTTTCTTGCAAATTGCAATGTAATCTACTTTTAAGTGACGTAAATTTGTGCAGAGTATTAAAAATGTAAGTGTAAGGAACGTACATGGAGTGTGATAAACATAAAAGTTTCGTATAGTTGAAATTCCCAACTCTTAAAAGTAGAATTGCATTGCAAGTTGCACCGTTTAACAGGGCCGTAAGTATTATAGTCATGCATTTCTGACCTTTATCACTGTTTCCCACTTCGACAGACGTCAATTCAAGAGACCGCAAAGACAAAGTCGATCTGTTTATAGATACTATGCCAAAAAACGTATTTTACCAGGCAGTCCTGAATTGTTGTGTTTGCGGATTTACAGCAAGTCAAAATATATCCAACCTATACATTTCTATCATTTCAGAAGTCATTAATTGTACGAATTCCCCATGTGGTGCAAAAGAAACATGTGTAAGAATCAATGATTCATACGTTTGTCGTTGTAAAACTGGTTATTGGAGAGAGAGAACAAATTGCAGAGGTAAGTAGCAAACCGTACCGTACCGTACTATACCATACAATACCAGACCATACAATACCAGCTGATGTTATTTTGGCCTAAATCTTATGTACTAAAAACCATACTTCTCCAACAATGTGGGGCAAACGATTCGATTCAGGGCAAACTCTAACTCGATTCCAGAACTCATACACTGAAGCTTTTAAATCGTTTTTGAAATGTACTTCCAAAACGACGTTAATAATGAAAATTTACAATATGAACACTAATTGCCATGGAAAAAGTATTCAATATTCATACTAAATGTCATTTCTACAGTATGCATTAAAAATATTCCAGTGAACTTTATTGCTGTATTTCGCAGATATCAACGAATGTGGCGCAAAAAATCTATGCGACTCTAATGCGATTTGTAATAACACCGATGGTTCATATCTTTGTAAATGTCAACCTGGATATGAGGGAAACGGAACTAACTGTAAAGGTATTGTAACTCTATTTCTTGCTCCATTATCCAAAAGCATAAATTTGAAGGCACATGCTGTAATGCAAGAGAGCTAAACAGGGGCGTAGAGTGTGACTATCGTAACTGCGCGGGGGGGGGGAGTCAAACCCTATATTTACAGACTATATAACATTGCAATAGATCACACTCCTTCGCCCCATCTAAGGTCCGATTTATCCCGGCTAGGCGAGGTGAAACTGCATATAATGAAAGACTAATCAGGTTGAACCTTCAATGTGATGCGCTTTTTACGTCTGAACTTCGAGTCAGAAACTATATCTATTTATTTCAATACAGAAGCACATTCGTTTCTCAGTTAATTGTAAGTTAGCATTTTATTTTTAGGGAGACAAATTACTCCAGGGGCCAGTTGTATAAAAGACTAGTTAACTTGTAGCCAATCAGAGTCGTGTATTTCTGAGTTAACTAGGTTTTAACTACGCAACGTGTAGTTACTGAATAGTTTTATACAACCGGCCCCAGGTGCATGAAAACTCAGTTTTGTCAAGCTGCCTGATGACGTGATGATATTAAATCAGCTGAATATATACGTAACTAACAATTTTTATTCTATTTTCCTGTACTTGACAAGAATCATCCAAACAAGGATCATCAACTGCCGAGAGTAGTGACAATACCGGCGTCATTGTTGGCGTTATTGTTGGCGTGGTTGTCTTGCTTGTCGTGTTCGTTGTTGTTTACTACCTTTATCGAAGAAAACAAAAGGTGAAAGACACGGAGGACACACGTACCATAAAAAATCGTGCTTATGAGCCACACTTGAAAGATGTAACGGAACCAGATGCAGAGTCCCCACGTATTCCTGAATCCGCGAATCGCTACGAAATATCCAAAGAACCAACATACGCATCACTAGACAATTCTAAACGAGATGATGAAAATCTGTATCAAAGTTTGACTAATGAAACTCGCGACGCTCCCGGCAAAGAATCAGAATATGCTTCGCTGAAGAGTACAGAAAGAGATCCCGATGATGACAAGCAGTATCAGAGCTTGGTTAATGTTGGTTATCAAAAACAGTCAGAGGAGGACGAAGATAAGGACGACTATGAAGAGGTCGGGGGACAGAAGTCGGGGGAAGCTATCACCAAACCCGACACTCGCCTTGAAAAACCCGACTATGCCGAGCTGGATATTTCCAAGCGAGATCCCAACGATGAAAACCAGTATCAAAGTTTAACACCAGGAGATTATGAACAGCCCCAGGATTGTCGTTTTGGTAACCTCAATGCAAATGCTTCATCGAACAAAGATGGTAATCCTGAAAATGCATACGAAGATTTACCCTGACATATGATCGCAAAAACCATGCATCTATATTATGATCGTGAACCATGTCATTTAGAAAAAAGATCCCAAATTTCTATATCTAATGGTCGAAATTGGGCTGTGAAACAGCTTTTGCATGAACAAAATTAGATTCACAATTCTAGATGGTTAGAGCTAGAACAATACTTTACTGTCACGAATTGGCGTCAATCGAGCGTTAATTAAGAGGGACCATATTCATATATTTTGCGATGCCTGCATTGCTAATTTCTTTTCACTTTCAATAGAAATCAGCTTGACATAACAGAATAATATGAATATGGTCCACCTCAATTAACGTTCGATTGACGCCCATGCCGTCACGGTACGAAAAGAGCGTATTGCAGGTGAAGTGATTAGGTTATTTACCAGGGGCCAGTTGTATAAAAGACTAGCAGTGTGTAAGACGAAAAACCTTTAATTTCTTATGCGAAGACCGCTGAAAAAACTGAGCCGTCTGTACTGGGAGAAAATTAGCCGAATATGACCAACGCGAACTGAATTACATTTCATTTATTTCATATAACGTCAGAACTTCGAGAACTATATTTATTTATTTCAATACAGAAACACATTCGTTTCTCAGTTAATTGTAAGTTAGCATTTTATTTTTACGGAGACAAATTACTCCAGGGGCCAGTTGTATAAAAGACTAGTTAACTTTTAACTGTAGTTAAGGGCAGGGTTGGCCAAACAGAGTCGTGTATTTCTGAGTTAAATAGGATTTAAATATTCAAAATGTGATTGAAATATAGCTACAACCGAACTTTGCAAGCTATTGCCAGTAAGAACGTATACTAACCCAATAATAATAATAATAATAATAATAATAATAATAATAATAATAATAGCTAATAATAATAATTAAATAAATAAATAAATATATGTGTGATTATTTCCACTATAGCTTTTAATTTGTGCAAATTACGACACTGAATTATTATATATTACAATGATATGGAATGTATAAAAAAGTGAACCGTAAATTTGCCTATAAAATCTAACATCTGACTGCTTAGAGAGGTTAGTGACAAACGACACCTAAAACGTGATGTACGTAATAAAATGCAGGGTTCAAAACACGATTTTGCATAATGTCAACTGCAAGATTGGGAAGTCTTGTAATGATGAAATTTATATTACTGCATCGAGAGAGAGCCGGGTTAACGGAACAAAGGCTTTGAACAACCTTAAACATTTTATCTTTTGCGTCCATGTTTTCAAGTGTAATAACTATTTGGTCAGTTTCTCTCTTCATATAAATCTGCCATTATTCACCAACGGGTGTTTTTCTCATGGTAACTATGGTAATTACAGATTTCCAAAACACTTTCCCCCTCAGAAAAGCATACAACACGGCATGAATAGATTTTGATGTTATACATAGAATTATATACTTGCTGTGGGTTTATTTTTACAATAGTTCGAGTGAGCTAAGAGTGTCTGAAACTGAAATGTTCAAAATGTTTGGATTTCTTGGTAAACTTCAACATTTTCGATAATAATTGTCTTTACAATATCGTCATTTATATAGCGATTTAATTTTTACGCACTCAAGATAAATTGCAGAATTGACAATTGTTTATACTTTCAATTTCAGGCAGTTGCCGAGCATGCGCACTCAGTCCTTAGAAACACGGTGTTTTAACTGATGGGATTTATGCGCTACTTGTGTCCCACCCATCCCCACACGAGAGAAGCGTAACAAAAGAATCAGGACCAGGCTCTTCTGCATACGCTCCACAGCCCACGCTCCGGCGAAGACCCCGGTCATGTGGTTCTTTTGTTACGCTTCTCTCGTGTGGGGATGGGTGGGACACAAGTAGCGCATAAATCACATCCGTTAAAACACCGTGTTTCTAAGGACTGGATATCGAGACCTCTAAATTCGCTGATCAACACCCAAATTTAGAAGATGAGACAGGCCTTCGAATGTCTGTATTGAATGTCAACAGAACTTGTGACGATACTAAAACCGATGCTATGGACGATGATACAGTCTACAATGTAGACTACATATACACTTTGAATCTAAATTTAGTTTGTTGTTCTTTAGAATTTTCTGCTGCGCCATACTAGCTGTATTTAGTTTCATTATTGTGTGAACCGCTATTTTTAGTTCCGGCAGTACAAAGACACATGGACTGTCAAAATGCTAAAAATGGCAGAAGTGGTTTATTGACGTTGCCACCCCTCCCTTAGATATGAACTATGCGCTAATAAAAAATCTCCGATGTTTTGGCTCTCGGAAGCTTTCGTCCGATTGGATAATGCTTTTCCATGCTTTCTAAAGAACGAAGGTATGCTATTGGTTGAAACAGAAATGTATTGTAAAGTTCAGCCAATGAAAATCATTCTTCCGAGGAGCTGCGACACTACCGGGGGGTCTTCGCCGTGGCAGAAAGGTCGGCTGTGCCTGTTTCACCCGTTTGCTTCACTGGTCAATGGTCATGCCGCATCGAATATTAGGCTGGATGCTGTATTTACAAGAGCGACTGGTGTTCTAAGGCGAACTAAATATGCAATATTTTACGACACTTGAATTGCTATTTTATTTACTTGCTATTTATGTATAGCAAAAACGAATTGAATAACTATCACCGAAACTACAAACACAACGTTTGCGCCTTCACGGCCTACAAAGTCATGTGGGGAATATATATTGTCATATTTTCATATATTACCTTCCTTTCTGACTCTTTTAAACGGTAAGTTCCTTCAGTATATTTTGAGTAATATTTTTGATAGTATGTACGTACAGTTTAATTGACTCAATTGAGTAAGGTTGCTAAATCAGGTATATATAAATATATATTTGTATGGAGTATGTTCAATATTAATTTGATACATAACCAACAATTTTCACCAAAATTAAATCCTCTACACCAGCTTTTCTCTGACACTTTCTGGGAGGAGGGGAAGGTAAATTTTGAGGGATCCCATCTGGAACCATGGCTGCAGTGATGTTACAGAGGCAGGCTTCGGAGAAATATGACCATGAAAATTGTGAGGCCCAGGAGCTTCATATGTGAACTAGAAACACCCTGTATAACATGTTAGCCTGCAACTCATGAAAATTTACCACAAAGCTTTGTATTAAACCAGTGCCACTGCTATTTTTTTCATATGGCTTATACATTTTTTGTGTGTGTAAAATCATGGTATATTTACCAGACTACCTGCTTTAAAAGGTTAAAGCTTCAAACATGTTATTATCAAATGTGGTATAATGACTGCTTGAAATAGCAGTCATTTACTAGATCTTTAGTGCAAGAGCCAGTCCACCAAAATTAATTTATTAATTTGTTAATTCTGTATTATCATTTGTTTCCATGCTATATATCTTGCATGGCATCTGTGTATGTTAATTGTGTCTTTGATGTTTTGCAGAATGGCTTTTTTGTTTGTTCCTGTAGAACTTCATATTGAGAAGGTATGTTATTTGGTATTGTATAGCAGCTTTGTTACATAATTGTTTTTGATTTACCTTTGAGCTTATATGATGTAACCTTCTCTGTCAAATGTTTTCTGGGTTATTTAACCTAATGTGCAGTTATAATATCAAGTCGTAGATGGACATGTTAAAAATTTAGGGCTCAGGCAAATTATTTTAGCAAAAACTACCTGACCTATTAGTACAAATTGCCTAGCTTTATGCTGACTTCAGCAAAAATTGCCTGAATCTGCTGTAAAAACAATACAATTTGCCCTAAATTTAAATGTTTCAAGGGCCAGCTGCCTGTTTGCTTATTTTCTAAAGGTGACTAAACATTTTACCATGTAATATTGGTTTAGGCATCAAGGTGCATATATGTATGTCACTTTGGCTCTGCCACAAATGTGGCACTAATTGTAGGATCTAGTTGATAAATATTAAGCATATATATGTGGAGTAAACGTAAAAGGCATCTCTAGCTGGGTTTCAGCCGAATGACAGGTTTAGCACTTGGTGGTCAACTCCAGATAGAAATATATTTATCAAATTAAGTTAAATATTCATTGTAGGTTTTGACCTAATGTTGAGTAGATGTTATGTGCAATTTAACAAAACTTGCTCATTTCCACAAGGCATAATTCAACAATATGTGTGAAGTTGACCACCAAGTGTTTCGCTATGTAATATTCTTGAGTTAAACCCATGCACCTATGGGTGATAGATGTATTATCATGTTATAATGTAGATTATGGTAACTCTTTAAATGATATTACACATGGTTGTAGTAAATACATCTATTTATCATACATGTATATCATTGTTTAATTTTAGAAGCACATTCTTGAACCGTAAATCTATTGCCTATATTGGATTTTGCTATTCCTGGTTGCAACAGCAAAAAACACTGTAGATGTCACTCAGGCCAAAAGGAAAGTGAGGTACAAGATTTTTGCTTCTCTTCTGATAGGTCACATGGCAATGTCTAAAACATTTTGTCTGCTCTTCTGAAAGCTCTTTAATTTATTTTTCTGCTGTATGTTGATTTGTATTGTGCTGTACTGTCATTGTACTGTCATTGTTCTGTCATTGTAGTGCATTGTGCTGTAATGTACTGTATTGTTAATCTCACTCTACCTCAGGGCTACATATTTGGTCATTTTAACAACTACTTAAAGCTATTATAAGTTTTTCTTAAGCAAAGGACATTTAATAACACTGCAGTCATCAAAAACCGTCGCACTACCTATTAATTAATGTTTACATTCCATACAAAAAAGCATTTCAAAATTGCGCGCTTTCGTAAATTGTGTCGAAAATATTCGCATCAGGATACTGTACCGGGGTGAATAGGGACAATTTTTAAGCATTTTTGTAAAATCGTCTCAGATAGTTTTCAAACAGGGCTCTGTTACATGTCATTAAGGTCTTTTACTGTAGTTTACAACTATTAAGATTATGGTAGTAAATCCAATACCGGGGAATCCCATTTTAAGTAGCTAATCATGTTTAATTCATATAAGTGCAACCTCCAGTAAAGTAAAATATAGAATAACATAAAACACTATTGTCCAAACATATATAAAAGCAATATAAAAGAATATCATATAACAATGTGACCAATCACATGTTGACAACTCCGCAAAGTCGCTCTGGCATAGTCGATAGCTGGACATAAAAAAGAACAATATTCTATCATATGGTTTACCACACTAGATTTGTATCTATGCAGTACAAATTTTTCATTAGTTTCCTTAAGCTTGTCCACAATGGTTCCGTCCGGGTACAGTATATATGGTACTCGTGACCTGCTTGATCAAGTCCCGCGAGTGCTTCACATGCTTGTCATTTGAAATTTTTAAAAGTTCCTTTTTTGTTGCATTCTTTTTCAAACCATTACGTCACGTAATGCCACAAATTATTATCACTTATCAGCCTCATTATAGCCTGGCATGAACTATAATTTCAATATTATCCTCTTAAAATGGATAGCTAAAATATGTGTTGATATATGTAACGTCTGAAAATTAGATCCTTACCTTTCAACCAAAAATGGGCAACGTCTTTTATTCGAGTTTTGGTTTTGGCGTAAGTGATAAGCGATAAGAATTAAGCAAAAAAAATTAATAAATAGTAAAAAAAGAGAAGTATCTGATAGTACAGCTGGTTCGCGAGCAAGTACAGTTGTTACAAACGCCGTCAAGAGTTCCGTCTCGAGTCAATTTGTCCTTTTTTAGACCAAAATATTTCTCTAAAACATTTAATGTAATATAAGACTATACAACCCGCCTATATCGTTTTGTCCGCCTTTTTCTTTCCCTCTTCCAATCGCGACGTACCGGTTTCTAAGGTTGACCTAGGATCATCTGTTTGTATAACATTTGAGGTGTTGCAAACTCAGTATTCACATTTCTTTCAGTACTCTGGCCATGTGTACCTGACGACTCATTTTCTCACGACTTTATGCACTCATGTGTGCTCAAACTTACGCCTTCTCTTTTTGCTTTTTTCTATAAACAGAGCTCTTTACATGTCATTAAGGTCTCTTACTGTAGTTTACAACTATTAAAATTTTGGTAATTGATAAATCGAATACCGAATCCCGTTATAAGTAATAATGTTTAATTCATATAAGTGCAACCTCCAGAAAAGTAAAAGATAAAATACATAAAACACTATTGTCCAAACATATATAAAAGCATGCAAGAATATCATATGTTAATCTAACCAATCACATGTTGACATCTATAAGTGAATTTGAACTAACCTTTGAACTCACGATCTTAGGGTGTGATCTTTACATGCACGATGCTCTAACTTAGATTATATAAAGTATCACTTTTTAACTACAACAACAACAACATATTCAGTAACTTTTCATGTGGTATGAAGTAGGCTTTTTTGTATGATTCAGCCCATAATACAGTGTTTATATTGAACACAACTGCAAAGAACAGGTGGTGCCTATTCTAGGTCAAATTTAGTAACAACTCTCCAAAGTCGCTCTGGCATAGTCGATAACAGGACGCATGCAGGAAGAATGATATTCTATCATGTGGTTTACCACACTCGGATTTGTATTTATATAATACAAATTCTTCATTAGTTTCTTTACTTTGCGTTAGCTTGTCCACAATGGTTCCGTCCGGGTATAGTTATATGGTACATTTGACCTGCTTTGATTAAGTTCTGTGAATGTGCCACATGCTTGTCTGTTGAGATTTTCAAAAGTTCCTTTTTTGTTGCATTCTTTTTCAAACCATTACGTCGCGTAATGCCACAAATTATTATCACTTATCAGCCTCAATATAGCCTGGTATGAACTATAATTTCAATATTATCCTCTTAAAATATATAGCGATAATATGTGTTGATATATGTAACGTCTGAAAAATAGATCCTTACTTTTCAACCAAAAATGGGCAACGTCTTTTATTCGAGTTTTGGTTTTGGCGTAAGTGATAAGCGATAAGAATTAAGGATCCTTTGGATTCTGAAACTTTGGTGGCTTCTCGGCGGTGGAAATCTTCCCAAAGATGGAATGGGTCGTAGTTCTTGCCTTTGCAGTGGCAAAGTCATTTACGTCCTTAATGCTGACATCTCTGGCTTCTCACGTTGTCTCGCGCCATTTGATTCTCATAGGTTGAGGCAATCGGTGGAATATTTTTTTCAGATCATCGGAGTTGTTCAATCTGTCCAAGTAATCTGTCCGATCTTTTCTAGAGTGTTTGTACAACTTGTCAATTGCACGGAAAATTGTTTGTAGGTTAGTTCCATCTTCGTTCTTAATCTGCGGTCCCTTTATTAGCCGTTCTACGTGTGCCACAGCAACTTTGTAATCTTGTCCAAATCGTTCCTTTAGCAGCCTTTTCGCTTTCGCTTCTCTGTAACCCTCGTTTCTCCCATTGTTAAAGAGCTCTTCATTAGTTCTTGTGCAGCAGCAGACGTGTGCTGCATCAGGTAATACAGTCGAGCACTTAAACGTGTACACTTATTACGCTGTAAAAACTGGTTGGTTAAACAACCATTTTTTTGTTGCAACCATTCTCAAATGGTTATTTTGACCAATTATTCAATGGGTTGCTCAAATTTGACCAATTAAATATGGTTACTTTGATAGGGTTAAAGAATAAGGTCTAATTTGATAGACCTAATGGGTTTATATGGTATAGTTTTGTTCAAGGGGCAAAAGATCAAACTTCACCTCTTTGCATCAAATTTGTGTAAAGACAAAATTAGGAGGTACAAATTAATGCAGCTTTTAACAAATTTATTTTTTATTGTACAGCAATTCCAATTGATAAGGTGTGAGAGACTCAGTCCTCTCTAAAGTGCATGCTTCCTTTTCCTTTTTTTTAAATTCTCTGACATCAACAACAGTGTCATCTGAGTCGTATTCTTCTGCCACTTTTCTTTTTTTTCCCTTTTTTTTCTTTTCTCTTTTTCTTTCTTTTCCTCTCCTGGTTTTCTTCTTTTCTTTTCTTTCTGCCTCTAACACCTCATACGAATCATCTTAAATCTTATATGAATAAAAGAAGATAAATTCCTAAATACTTCATTATACATGATGTCAAAACCATACTTTCAGTTGACATTTTATCAGAACATTTCAGTGAATATATGTATAGGGCATCTTATGAAGATATTTACTCAAATATGGCATTGGAGGAAACCACTATGTTAAGTACAAATAGAGAAGATGCAAAACACAAAATACGAATGTTCACCTTTTTGATCGCGTGTTTGGTTGACTTGTGCCTCATCTCTCTCTCTTGGCTTTCATGCCTATTCGATAAATCATTATAGAACAGACTTATAAGTCGACTCTATGGTACAATTTTAATATACTATGGAATTTATATTATAGAGACGGATCATCAGTCTCGACGAACTTGGCAAACGAAAGGTAGTTCGCCTTATAATTCACCTGTGTATAAACTCGGACGGATCAAGACGAACTTCATGCGAAGTTAGTCTAAGCATTAATACATGAGCGAGGACTGTTACCTCTTCAATGTTTACTCGTTCCGCCATCTTGAGCACGTGGTGAATCATCACGTAGCCTGCATAGCCTGGCTGTACCAGCGAAAAAAAGGCCGGTCCCGGATATTTGAATATTAGGCGTTGAAGTTGTTAAATTCATCTTTTTGTGGTAACTATGTTTACAGTAATATCTATATTTACAGCAATATATATTTACATATACATATTTACAGTAATAGCTATATTTATAGTAAACTCTAAAGTGTTTGTGGGAGTTGGTATCTTGACATGACATATAGAACATCATTTTCCCAGGAAGATGCCTTTGTTGTATGCATGGGAAGGTACATCCTTAGCATTGTAGGCTGAAGTATAAATGCTTGTGCATTAGCATGCCTTTGAACTTCGTAGCAATGGAAATGGCATGAGAATTTAACTGTTATAAATCTCTCCAAAATAAAGTAAATCTTGTCTGAAGCAAGTACAAATGTTTCTACAATTGATGCAAAAACTGGCATATCATTATGCAGACTTTCAACATGTACCACAGCACCAACTCTGTATCTGTGCCATGAACTGAAATTTTTCTTTGTCTAAAATCTACAAAAATAGTATATATTTTATATACTATGATATTTTATATTTTTACAATCAATACCATGTCACTCCATATGGGACATTAATACTGGCATCTATTATTTATTTATATATGCTTACATGTGCAGGACATTGGTGTAAGCTAGTGTTGGTTCCCAATCTTTTAATAATTCGAAATATTAACTTTCTCCTACAACAAGTTGTTTTCCAAACTCTTTTTTATTCTTTGCTTTGGCATTTCGCTGTTGTCAGATATATTAAAATATCTTTTAAATTTTCAAACCGGTTTAAGCTCATTAATCTTTGCAAAAAAGTAACAATAATGAGGTATGGCAATGTTAGTGTTAAAAAAATTGTATAG